TCATCTAAATAGCCAATGATACCACCACAGAGTTTTTGTGAGACAATCAGGTTGACCTCATATTTGATTTAAATCTATGATAGGATGTCTTTGTTTAAAAGAGTATTTATGAAGGTCTTAAAAGCATTTAAATAATTTTTTATGGTAAGTGTAGGTTTTATATGAAATTCATGTGTATATTTAATAGTTCCTTTCTAAAATAATCATTTTTATTATTATTCTAAAACTGGAGATAGATTAGATACCAAATTTGATTTTTATTTTTAAGAAATATTATTATATTCTCCAAATAAATTTTCTTTAAACCCAAAAAATTTATTGAATAATAATTAACTAAAATTTTATTTTAAGCTGCATCCAAAATGTTTTAAAAAATCCTTAAAATTTTTACAAATTAATAACAACACTTTGGACACATTTAAGTTTTAAAAATATTAAAATATTCAAAATGTTTATAAAAGTATACTTTAAAAATAGTTTTGATAATAAAATTGTTTTACCCATAAATTCCTAGAGACATACTTTGACATTAAAACTCTCCTTTATTCTACCCAGTTTGAAATATCTTTGAAGACAATTTTAAAAGACTTGAATATTCCAATATATTAACGTTTCCTGTAGGTTAACTATATAAACTATAAAAAAAAACCTTATGAAGTGAAGATGGTAAAATGTCTTATAAAATTGAATGAATGTTAAGGTTGTTACATGATTACTATTGGACCAATTTTTTTTAAAAGAACACTATTGGCCAAATTTGATTGACGTTTTTTGAGGATTATTATAATAGATTCTACACTTCCTTTTCAATTATAAGTTTACTTAAACATATACCTTCTAAACTGGAATGGTTACATTTGATCTATTTTAAATTGTTGAGTATATCAGATCCAAAGTTAAGTGAAGGGTCACACAATTAGATATATTGAATTCCTTATTCTTGTAAATATAAGAACCAAAAGATCACACAATTAGGTCATTGAACATTTCATTCCACTCTTGATTGTATATATCTACATCCTTTTGCAATTTATAGGAGCAAAGGATCATCCAATTTTATACTAAATATTTTTATCCCACTCAATTTCCTTTGAAGCTGAAAGACTATGATTACTGTATTGTATGGGTTGAATCATTAATAAAAAATAACACTATATCTACTGTTCAGGCAAATTTTTTTATTTTAATCATATTTATTTACATCTTCTATGAACATTAAATATCAATAGTGATAGTAATCATCAAAACTTACATTAAATAATTTAAACATATAATCAGCCATCACCCACCTTTAAAGTAATTAAATTATACTGTAGTTCTCGGGTATAGGCTCTTTTTTACCCCACTCCTTTTTACTAAGCCTATAGAGGTTTAAACAACTTTTTTCGAAATGTTGCGCCTACAAGTACGTGCGGCTTGCCCACAAACGTGTGAAGGGCTCCTCATTTTCTTCCTCTAATTAACTATCCATTTTGATGGATTTTGCTGTTGTACCCACAACCAGAGAGCGAAAACGCTTTTATCACTTATCACGTATTTTAGCATTACGATCGGCAGTCTATAGTATTAATGTCATTTGATGTCAATCAATATAATTATTATTCTAAATTATTAAATTTGTATATACATAATCAGGATTTATCAATAAAATAAATATATTTTATTACAAAATTTTGTCAAATTTAGTCTACTTAATAAAGTAATTAAGGATGGATATTGTATTTATAACTATAGCAAATAATCTTTACGAAAATAAGAAATGCATGGGTTATTTTTCTGGGGTATTTTTTCCCAGTACCAATTTGAACTTCAGCATTTTATCTTGTTTAAGCATTTTTTATGAAAGGGCATATGCAGCGTCTACATGAGCGGAAGGGGTAGGAACAGTTTGCATTCTATTTTTTTTTTGGGGGGGGGGGGTAGGCTGCTTTAATGGGGGTAATATAAATTATTTAGAGGGTTATCTATTGAGATGAAATAAAAATTTATTGCTGCAAAAATTAATACTTTTATTATAGAATTATTATAACACAATTCATCGACCAAATCTATATATTGCAAACAATCATACACATTGTTTTCCAATTAAAACTTTCTGCTATTTTTTAGGGGGGTAGGTAAAGGTTTTTGAAGGGGGTTTGCATCCAGTAAAAATCCTATCATGTAGACGCTGGGCATATGAATAATCTTTAAATAATGAATTAGGGCCTAAAGAAATTTAGCTGATTAATATATAAATTTTTATAATATTTTTTCTAAAATACGAATTTTATACATTATAAATATGAGTATATCCATTATAAATTAAATAAAAATGTACCTATATTATTAGGTAGTGTTGTTAAACAACTTCATTTAGAAAAATATAACGCAAATTTGCTCATACAAGGAATAAAGGTTTAGTTTAGACATATTATCAAAATCTCGAGGCTTAAGCATAATTTTTTTGGCTAAAATATTGAGTTAGCCGTTGAAAAATCAGTTAAAAACGAGCCGTTTATCAACAATATTTTTAGGTCTTAAGTAAATTCTATAAATTTCCAGGGTTTTTTTTCTGGGGGTATTTTTTCCTGATGTATTTTTTCCGGGGTTCATAATCTATTTAATATTATTTTATAATTTATAATTTTATTGAATGATCTTACACATAGAATACTTGAGATTGTTTAAATTCAAAAATTTGCTTTGATTTTCGATTATCCAAAAAGGCGTTGTACTTAGACTCTTTAGCAATATCTTTCACAAACTTATATAAAGAATCAAACAATGACATTAATACTATAGACTGCCGATCGTAATGCTAAAATCAAATTTGAAGTGGCAAAAATTGAAGTGACTGGTGGCCATTTTGTGTTTGTATCTTTTACGAAAGAAGCATATGATAATTTCATAAATTTCAGGTATATTTTTATTATGTTTATATTTATAATATATATATAATCTAATTAAACACCAATTTATTATTTACCTTATATATTATAGTATATATGAATCATATAAAGGTCACTACTGAATATTTTACTTGAAATATTTCTGCTCTTTATTAACATTTGGAATTTATTATTTAATAATAAATATCTTTTATAAGAATTCAATTTAATATTTTTTAATTACTAAAAGATTTAAAATGGTAGTATATTGCTGAGGAAGCAAAATTTCCTTTCATAAGTATGATATCTCAAATTAATTATTCTATTGTAAAAATTATTTATGGAAGATTTCCTATGAAAGATAAAATATTATTACAAAAGTGGACCCATGCTGTGAAGAGAGAGAACTTCAATGTAACAAAATATAGTAAATTATGTTCAAAGCATTTTACACCAGATTCATTTATTCCATCTGTTACAAATCATGTTCAATTAAGAGAGGGAGCAATACCATCAATTTTTAATTTTCCAAAGCATCTTCTAAAAGTAACAAAATAATGAATAATAAATTATAACATGCAGGTTTCCTAGAAGCCAGATTAATTCAAAGATACATGAATATTATTTTTTATAGAAATCAATTCTAGATTTTTTTTGTATTTTTATAATTTATGTCTCATGTCTTTTATGTTTTATTTTTGCTTATAATTATGTTATTCCTTAATAAATATAAACTATCCATTTCTAAATATATTTCTTTATTTAAATTTAATTCACTAAAGTATAAAAATCAATAATGTAAATATATATCATGAAAAATACAAATAATATATATTATGTTATATTTACATGAAATAAAATAATTGTATTATTATAATTAATATGTATCGCGAAAAAAAAATATTAATCTTATAAATCAATAATATATGTGTTATATTTATGTCTAATAAAATTAATTTATTATAACCAATAAAGTCATTAGAAATTTTCAAATAATTTGTTCTTCACCTATAAATATTTAAGTTAAATAACATATTTTTATATTACTTGGTTTATTGCCCTTGAAAAAGTACAGCCTTGTTTAGTTTTTGCCTGATATTTAATTGTAATTTTTGATTTACTTTATTACCAAAATGATGCATTCTTATGTGCAGGTATCTGAAAATAAATTTTTATTAAAATCAAGTAAATATTATATATACCTTTTTATTATAAGTCTTATTATAATTTGATAATGACTTAACCCTGCCTCTTGATCAAACATATGATCTTGCAGGTCACTAAGGATATTTGTGCCTAATATTTTTGACAATATTAGACATTCTATTTTTTTAACAGCATGTCTTTTGGTTATTTCATCTACTTTTTCAAAAGCCCTGAATGAGCTCTCTGTTATTTTGCATAAATTTGACACGCTTTGGGATGGTATTAGAATATATATATATATATTATAAATATAAACATAATAAAAATATACCTGAAATTTATGAAATTATCATATGGATCTTTCGTAAAAGATACAAACACAAAATGACCACCAGTCACTTCAATTTTTGCCACTTCAAATTTGATTTTAGCATTACGATCGGCAGTCTATAGTATTAATGTCATTGGAATCAAATACAGATTAATTTTTATAATGTTTGTATTAGTGATAACACAGGATATATTTTAAGTTCCATTTATCATTGTTTTAAATTCCTGATTCTGAACAAACTAATTATATAGAAATTTTTTTATCATATTCTAACCTATATGGTTTTTGCCAAGTGCCTTTTTAAGGAAGTTAATTAAAAAAAATTTTTTGCATTAGCGAAATTGTAAAGTTAAAGCGAATCTTTATTTTTATGAAAATGAGAAAATTTCTGAAGGATGTCATTGACTCCATTGTACATAAGATTAGTCAGGTTTATGTTAAGTGACGGGGTGGGGGTAGAATATTATTAAATATGCCCCTCCCCCTCCATAAATTTTATTAGAGATCTTTAGGTTCACTTATCACTGGGCTTTGGCTAATTTTATAAAACGAATTTTGGGCTCTCACATTTTTTATAATAATCCTTTTTTCTTTTTTTGAATTATAGTCTCTTTTTTTTTAAATTTAACAATTTTTACTAGAGGGGAATCTTTTGTTAATCTAAAATGCGAGGGGGGAAGGGATCCTCCCCTGGTCGGCTGCTATGAATTAAACAATTTTAGTTACATTCTAAATTTTGAATTTATGATATGTCAAAATATTTCTATGTTTTAAAAACAGCTGATAAATCAGTATTCAGTACGCAATAAATATTTTTGTAGTTAATATCTCGTGCTAAATACTTGATCAGCTAAATGCGCTATATCAGCACGAGAAGCTTATCACGAAAAGAGATCCTTAACTTTGAAGATATTCTATTTACTGGTTATGCAAAAGATGGTGGACTTTACATTCCAGAATATATACCCAAAGTTTATAAAATGTATTTTGTTAAATAGTACTTTATTAATTTAGATAACTCAAGAAGATTTAAAAATATGGAAAGGTTATTCTTATCTAGAGATCTCATTTGAAATATTAAAATACTACATATCTGAGGATGAGATTCCATATGATATCCTAAAAAGTATAATAATAGAATATAAATTTCATTATAATTTATAATATTTATTGCCTTTATTAAATATTTTATTCTTACATTTGCTTTTTTTTATATTCGAACATAAATAGAATTACTTAGAAAAGCCTTTTCAAAATTTGATATACCAGAGATTATAAGAATGAATTACCTTAATGATGGTACTAATATATTAGAATTGTTTCATGGTCCTACTTATGCATTTAAGGATTTGTCTATGTCATGTATAGGACAGTTTATGCAATATTTTCTTGCAAAGAACAACAAAAGGGTAATAGTTTTAGTAGGTAAACAACTATTATAAACCCAATATTAATACAAATCTAAATATCATATTTGATAATATATTAATTTATTAATATACAAAAGTATATACATTAAAGTCTGCCATTAAATAGACTTTGAACAAAATTCCAATCCCATCCAGCCAATTATAGAATTTTATAAAGAGTAATTTTGTATATTGCATATTATACTTTGGGTTTTTATATAACAACTATGACAGAGAAAGTAAATTAAAAATTATATAAAAAAATATGAGTTAAGGAAATTAATTTTTCTGTGTTACTTCCTCATTATCATGAAAATTATTTTAAAATCTGTTGAAAACTATTGCTTTTCATTATAGGTGGGTAATTGACTTAGTCTAGCTTTTTTTTGGCTAAGGCTAATCCTAAGCCAATCTGATTCTGATTGGCTAACGTTTTACTGTAAATTTTATAATAATTTAATTTAGAAGAATGAAAATTGTCATATTCATCATTATAAAATTTTTCCAATGTTTTTAATGAAAATGGATAATTAGTAATATTTTAAATTTGTTTTTTGGAAATTTAATAATAATGTAATCAGAAGGGTGTCAATTGTCATATTCAACATTTTAAAACTTTCTTAGCCAAATAAATCGTCTCAGACTTTGCCTTGGCTAAAAAAATTGGCTAAGACTTAGCCTAATCCAAACAAAATCGGACACGGCTTAGTATTCGCCAAAAAAAATTGCTCATTTAATTTTCTTTTAGATCAAATGAACTTTATTAGAAATCATTGTTATTAGGGTTTTAAATAATTTTTTACATTGTCTATTTCATAATGAATTATTATAGTAAACTTTAATTATAAAATAAATAAAATATACTAAATTAAATATCAATGATGATATTCTTATAAAATATCCACTATAACCAACAGACCATTTTTTTTGACCAAACCTGACATAGGAAAATAGTATTTTCTCAGTCCAACCCAAAAATATAAAAAAAAACTATCTCCCTATCTATTATAAACATAAAAATGATTCCAAATTTCCAACCTAATTAAAAGTAAAAATATATTAAAAATTGCCCTAAATTTTTTTTATTTTTCATTATGTATAAGTAGTGTTGTTAAAGAATGGAATATATTGATTCTCATCACTTTATATGCCCTGAGTGGGAGTTTGTGGAAGGGGGGTGCTAAAAAGTACTTCATAAAATAACTCAACATGGGTATCAAATGAAATCTAATAAAAATATAAGTTGATTACATTAATGCTCCTCTCTCCAAGGTGGGTTGAGAGGAGGGAGGGGTTGTCTAAATGTGTATTAGAAAGCTAATAAGGAGATCAATTGATTCTTATCATTGGTCTTTGAAGTAGCTCTGGAAATGGGGGTTGGAAGTTTTCTAGTATAATATCTCAATATGGATATAAAGTAAAAGCTAATAAAAAGATCAATTGATTACATTGATAGGAGAGACCGGGAAAATTTGAAATGCTATAAAAATGAAGCAAATTTCCCAAAATGTTTAAACTAGTTTTATTTTTACATATCTCTATGGTAGAAATTAATATCTAAGAAAAATATCTTAGTTATTTATCAATAAAATGAAAATTTAAGAATTTAAAAAACACCCGGAGTCTCTATTATCCTTTTGTGTTGTGTCTTGTGTGTCATAGCGCTTCTTTATTTTTAGATTTTTAAATTTTATTATATAATAATGTTAATTTTTAGAAAATAAATTGTCAAACATTTTAAATTTACCAGGTTCATCTATATTATACACATCGTCCGGATAAACTTGTCATTTAAAATTATCATATAATTCAAAAAATAAGTCAATCATCTAGTGGCTTCTATTGTTCTTATAAATTTAGTTGGATTTTTTTTTGAAATAAGCCATGCTAAAAAATGGCTAATACATACCACGCCAAAACCTGCACCTATGGTCTTCCTTAATTTTTTTTTGAAGATATTAAATTACCATAAATATTGTCAAAATTTTTATACATGATAAAATTGAGTTTATTTTATCATTTAGAATTGATATTTAGTCTGAGTGACATTTATAAAAAAATTTATTTTAAAATTTCTTATGAGCAATTTTATGTGAAACATGACCCACTTAACTTATTAAAATACATATTTGGCTTAAATCTCAAAGTTTACACCATCACCGGTTTACTCTACTCCTCTCTTTAGAAAGGGTATTGTAGGGTTTGGTGGGTTGAAAATGTCCTAGCATAATATATAGACATGGTATCTAATATAACCTGGTAATGAGATCGATTGATTACATTGATGCTTATCACTCTACATCTTCTGAGTGAGTGTGGTTGGGTTAAAAAGCTTCCAGCATAATATATCGAAATGGATCATTTGACTATATGGATAATTATAACTGTATTATTCAGGGTGGGATGGAGAAGCTAATAAATTTTAACATATCATTTCAATATTAGTTTCTTATAAAAACTACTGTAAAGATCTACTGATAACATTGTAATTTTTACTCATTACTCTATATCTTTAGGGGCATAATGACTTTCAAACAGGGACGAGAACCCTCCTTCTAAAAAAATGGGTTCGGATGGGTTCAGTGAAAAATCTTTGAACCCAGTTCGGGTTCAGATGGGTTCAGGGTTCGAAGAGCAGAAAAATAATGACTTATTAAAATTAGTTAAAATAAAAGAAACATCATTTTTTAAAAAAATTTATTTTAATTAGTATCGCCATAAAAATAATTGTCATCATAATTATACTATATTATATATAATATACTACAATACAATTAAAAAAATTATTAAATATAACAAAAATAATTACATGAAAAAATGACCCAAAAATGTTTTTTTAAAATTAATATTTTTTTTGAATAAAAAAACAATTGTTTTGAACAAGAACTCTTTTTAAATAGGAAATCTTTTATAAATAAAAATCATTTACATGTTTTTTATATTATATTATTTTAACATATAATTTAAAATAAATAAAATGAAAGTTTAAAATAAAAAAAATAAATTTTTTAAAATTAAAAGAAAAAAACTTCTCACTGCTTTCAAACATGAGAATAATTCTCTATACTTTTTATATTATAATTAAACTATTATTAAATATATTTTTAGAAATTAAACTTAAATATGTTAACGATAATACCTTCACAAATAATAATAATTTGCTACAGAAATTTAAAAACTAAAAATAAATAGCCAGTTAAAATAAACAAAAATGGTTGCTGAATTTATTTATTTTTTATATCTATGGCGCCATATATCTAGAAAATAATAATTAATAAAATTATGAAAAAGGGAAATTTAATTTTTCATGGATTTAAAATATTCTAAATTTACGTTCAATTTTCATATCTTTAATAGGTTTTAGAAGAAGTTTTAAATATATTATCCTGAATGTTTAATTTACCCCATTTTTATTTAGCCAAAACCATATTTACTAATCATAAGATTCCTTTTTAAAATAAGCCCTCATAACCATTAATTTTTATTTAGACGAATTGACAATGACTAAGGCAATGTGTGGGGGGGGGGGGTTATGACATAACATTGTAGAAATTAGAGGGTGCGGTATCAGAAGAACCTATTTTAAAATTTATAATCGTATACAGATTCTTAAAATAAATAGTAAAGCAAAAATATTTCTGAGCAAATAAGTGACGAGTTCGTAGCGTTTCATATATTTTTCGAAGTGATTCATTTTTTAATCTGAGCGTTTACCTGAGAAATTAATATTTTATATGAGCATTCAGTATTTTTCCTGAGCATTAAGTATTTTTTCTCAGCATTCTGAGCTATTATATAGGAGCCTTATCAATAATGTAATAAGAACATAATAATATCTCAAAATTTTTAATTTTTTTATTGTGTCGATCAAAGTTGTTAAACCCTACTTTTAAAAGTAGCGCGCTACCGCTATCGCTACCCATCAGAAAAAAGTAGCGCGCAATTAGATATTATTTTTTAAAAGTAGCTCTATTCGTTACATTTTAATAATAAAATTATTTATATATTAAATAATTGGGAAAAAGTAGCACGCTACTTTAACAACTCAGGTATCGATAAATATAAATAATCCATACCGAAAAAATATTTTAGAAATTAAATATAGATAATGCGTCCATTTTAAAAAATAAAATAACCATAGCCATAATCCATAAAATCTTTTCACTATAACTTTTAAGCAAAAAGCCACATCAAGCTTTGGCCCAAATGTTAAATTTTTTAAAATAAAAAAAAGAAAAAACAAGAATGAAAATATATATTTATTTGCAAGCTTTGTAATTTAGATGATTAAGAAATCAATATTACTTATGATAAATTTTTTCAAATCTGAGCTGGACTTAAAATTTCTCTCTCTGCAGGTCTTATAATAAATATATATTTAAAAAAAATAACCAATCTATGGTTCACAAAATATATGATAACCGGATTGAAGCAATCCATACTTCTTCTGGACGATTTATGTAAAAATTATATTGAAATTGATAGATTTTTTTAAAAAAGTATGGCCGTTTGGCTCATTCTTAACAACACTAATAAGAACCAAAATCCTTTCTCTTTATACCAATCTAGAAGTCAGGAAACTTATTTACTCATCTAATAATCGGGCATTTTTAACTGATGCTACACTGAGAGACTACATTACCTAAATGTCGCGCCAATAAAGAATTTGCGTACATTAAATACATACAAAAATTTGAATTGTTGCCTTGGCAAAGTTTAAAATGAAATAATTAATTTTTTTTATAGTCGACATCGCGAATTAAGTTATATTGTTTTAACCATAATTGAGGTACATCTGGAGACACAGGGGGAGCGGCTATAGAAGCTATTAAAGGCTTACCCAACATAAATCTGATAGTGTTACTGCCCGACAAATTATGTACCGAGATTCAAGAATTGCAAATGACTACGGTCTTAGATCCGAATATTCACATTTTCAAAGGTTTGTTTTTTTTAGAAATAATTAGCTTTAGAATTTGAATTGGAAGAAGGAAAAAATGAATTTAAAAAAATAAATAATGAATGAAATAAAAAAGAAAAAAATCGATAAAAAAGTTATTTATAATGCGAACAAAAATAAAAAGGCAAAGGAGGATAAATGAAATGAAAAAAATATCTTTTTAATATTGTGATATATATATATCAATTTATAGTGGAAGGAACGTGCGACGACCTAGATGTCCCGATTCATAAATGTTTTCAAGACCCTTCCTTAACTGATAATCCTAATTTTACCTTATGCTGCATAAATTCCATAAACTTAGTCAGGGTCTTGGTTCAAATAGTGCACCACGTTTACGCTTACATAAAGGTGTCCTCCGTCGATTGGTGCCCTTATCAGGTCAATATTTGAAATAAATAATGCATGGAATCTTTATTTCAACCTTCCACTTCTCATCCCTCATTTTTTATGTTCCTACTTCATCTTATTTTGATCCTTTTATTGGTTGATTTTTTTTATTAAAAAAGCATTCACCAACCTATAAATTGCCCTAATATATACAAAAAAAATCTAAATTGGTCCAAAATCTTTGTACATAAAAATAAAACCCATCGTAGTTTAGTTAGTAACATGAGGCCTATATAATCAAATTTTATATAATCTTTTTCTTTTTTTAAAACTTGCTTTTATATTTATTTAAAAAGTGATTAATTAAGACATAATTAAGCTTGTCAGTTTTTTTTATCCAAGTGTTCCAATGAGCCTTGTAGCTCAAGTGTATGGGAAACACATTCATTATATTACATTAAATATCAGTTTTTTGAAATTGATAAATAAACTATTGTTAAATCTATATCTATATTGGATTGACTAAAAAGTTATTTATCAAATATAATTGTCAATATTTAATATTTGCCTAATTTATACTAATTTTAATTTAATACATTATTATAATTAAAAAGTAATTTTGATGTTAAAAATACTTGATAATTTTAATCTAATACATTATTATAATTAAAAAGTAATTTTGATGTTTAGAATTACTTGATAATTTTAATTCATTATTATAATTAAAAAGTAATTTTGATGTTAAGAATGCTTGATAATTTTAATTTAATGAAAATTTTATTTTTATATAAATCTATCTAGAACTAGAGGTAAACTTTTATAAACTGAATAAAAATAAAAATTTTCATATATACTGGATGAATTAATCTTTTTGAATATCAAAATATTGAATTATATATTTATTTAAACGAGAGCAAATTAAAAATATAGATTCTTCCTTAAATTAAATTAAACAATATTAATTAAAAAAATTTTAAAAATATTTATCAGGATTAACTCAGTAATATAAAATAATTAAATATTAATTTTAGCAATTAATTACTGTACAACTTTTATGCACAGCAAAAAAATATATAATAAAAACTAACAATTATTTAAATCACAAGCAAAAAATAAAATTGGCTTAAATCTGGTTTTTTATTCTAAAAATAATTGATTTAAATGGTGATTTAAATCAATTTGATTAAATTATACCAACCCTAAATATGCCATAGAAGGGCATTTTAAATATAAAAAAAAGAAATGAAAGAACCATAATGATTTTTTTTAAATGTAAACTCTCAAGGCCTAAATCTCTCAAGCCCTTCAATACAATTTATGGAAAAACCGCACCTAATAGTGCTTCCCCCCTCCCCCTTGACGAAAATACAGGTTACACCTATATGGTGATCATGTCTTTAATGAATTATTTTAAATGACAAAGATTAAATTAAATTTAAAAAATTCTTTATTATGATACTGCAGAACAAGAAATCTCAAATTATGGACATAGAGAGCGACATGTATTCTTCCACTTACCAACATCTTGATTTGGCCGGACTAGGGTCAGAGGATCTTTCTAGTGCTTCTCCCAACTCGCCCGTTACCACTTTTAGCACGCCCCAATTTAATTTTGAATTTTCGAAAAAAAACGACCCATTAGTGATGAATATCGACAAACACTCAATTTCTAATTTCGAAGAGGATAAAGAACGAATCGATATTAGCGGTGATCAAGATAATGTTGGTCTACGGCAAAAAAAAGAAGTAAAAATAGATGATAAAGGCGGACAAAGTGCGAGGAAGGAAGCCTATAGAACCCAATGGAAAGCAACTGGCCCTAGTTCGGAAAATATTGTAGAGATAGTTGTTCCCTCAGGGGCTGGAGGAGACGCCATGGGTAAGTTTAAATATGAATATATTATTCAATTTGTACTCTAATTTGAGCCATCGATGATATTTTAATTTACACACTTCCCCATACTATCTTTAATCTGTTTATTATTATATTGAAACACTGTTAAATTAAGGCAATTATATAAATAATTTACCAATTTTTTATAATTTAAAAAAAAAATATAAACTTAAATGACTTTACTCGTTAGGCTTTTTAAGTTTTCTCCCATAATATATTAATTAATGTTGTAATGTCTGTAAAAATAGATAATTTAATTATTAATTAATATGGTTTTATTTTGTTTATTTAAATATGAAATAAATAATAACCAAGATAATAGCAAATATCATTGCATAAATCGCAAATGTGATAATAAATTCTTCTTCTTTTTATATGTTGTTTGATAGAATGTTTTTTTGCTGTTATATGCATAGGTGCTTGCTTAGCTATACAAATGGGAATACCTTTAAAAATAACGATGGCCGTTAACGCTAATGACGTGATAGCCAGAACTATTAATAGAGGGGATTTCTCTTCCCAAAAACCTTTTCAGCAAACCCTCTCGGTCTCAATGGATATACAAGTTAAGTTTGTATTAATGAATTGGAAATTTGGAATCTCCATCAGTTTTGTGCTCACTATACAATAGAAATCCTAAGAAATCGTGCTCAAAGTCTTGTGAATTAATTTAAAAAAAAATTTAATCATAGAAGTTTTAAGTCTCTTTAAATTTAAACTGTAAAGATTCTATTTACTTGTGATAAATGCGAGGTGATATATTCATTATCAAATATATACCTGGTTTTTAAATCTCTACTAAGAAAATTAGTACTGGTAATAAAATTGGTTAAGTAATATATACTAGAATATGTGAATATGTTTTAAATCCATACTAAGAAAATTACTATTAATAATAAAATTGGCTACTCCTACTCAAGTTTTGAAAACTCCCTATAATGTATTATTTCAATTTTTAATCATAGCGACTAGGGGACTATTGCTCGTTTAAAAAAACACTTTTAAAAGCTCAAAAATATAATTATCTCAAATCGATCTTTTCAACCCGACCCCTTCACTATTATTAAAATATGGTATTATAGTTATAAAAAATCAAAAAATTTAGACTCTTGAAACCAATAGGTCTATAGTTTTCAGGGTACCTCTCATGACCTTTTGATTCTAAGAATAAAATTGTTATAATATTTTCTTGTGATGCTTTAGTGATTATCATCACTATGCAAAATTTTATTAAAATTGAAAGAATCGGGTATACTATTTGCCATGGAATAATATTTGATAAAAATTCGTTCGGGAATTGGGTACGCTCCTTTTAGCCACAACCCGTTCTTTAACGGTTCATCCTTCATAATAGTGTTTAAAAATTTAGTATTTCAAACTCTGCGCTGTAAACACAAATTAGGCATTTTAAATGGTATCTGTAAATTGGTTATATGCATTATTCGTGTTCGCTACGTAGCATTTAAACTTAATTTTTAATACTATAATGCATCCAAAAGACGAGTTTATCCTCCAAGCGAAGACGGACAAAGACTTTAAATTTTAAAAAAAAATACATTAATTAATATTTTTTTTTAATAAACAATATATTTTCTTTTATATTTAAAGTGTCCTTTCAATATGGAAAGAATATTTTATATTTACAGCAAAAGAAACGCCGACCTCACCGCTAAAATAATGAACGATTTCGAAAAATACCATAATGTTTCCATACCACCAGATCTTTTAAACGAAGTTTTATAAATATAATTTTTAAAGTTTTATTTAGGGATTTTGTCATATATGACATTTCGGGAAATTTTAGGTTTGGTAGAAAGGATTTATAATTGGTGGTCATTTTTGCCTAGTTTTTTATATTTTGTTATGATAGAATTTGTAATATGCAAGATTGAGGTAACACTGAAGGATAGATTGAAATAGAAAATAATTTAGGCAAGCAGTAAGAAACTTTAATAAGTTGAAATAAATATAAGGTTGCTAAAAATATCAACTTATATATAAAAATATGAATATATAATTTTACTCACATTTTATTACATGATCTAACATAATTATAAAATAATAAGACATAAAAATCAAATGGCAAAAAGCAAAAGGTTAAAGCTAAAATAAAAATTAAAAAAGAATTCTTTCCAAAAATTGAAAAGTGAATTATATCCACAAAATCTCAAATATGTATCTTTCCTTTAATTCTCATTTACATAGTCTCTAATATGAAATTAAATAATATCGTAATAATTCTTCTTATTTGAATAAGACATTTTTTGTTTAAAAGTATTCATCTGTATCAGAATTAGTGCCCAATTTATTTCTTTATTTTAATTGGGGAAAGTTTTTTTTCTCTTCAAATGTATTTATTGATTAATCTATCATAAAGATTCAAAAAGATCTAAGAGGCTATGCATGCGATGATGAAGTGGTTAGAAGGACTATATTACGATGTTGGAAAGATGATGATTACATACTTTGTCCCCACACAGCGGTTGGAGTGGCATATTATTACGATCGCAAGGATGAGTATGATTTTGTATTTCTTCTTTTTCCCCAAAAAATATTATCTCCAGTTGTTATATTTTTTTTCCATTTATAAAATTTTGAACCATATTCTCTGTTTATCTTTCTTATAAAAGCTTGATTGAATGTTTATTAATTTAGAAGTAAAAAAAAATTACAAATCAATATTATTAGCAGATTTTGAAGAAGAGAGATTTTTGATCAAATTTTACCTAAAAATGCCAAAATCGTTTGTAATTTATAAGGCAAATCTTTTGTAATAATGCTAACAAATTGAGTGTTTAAAACGCTACGTTGTAAATGCAACGTTGTAAACAATTCATTTTAAATAGCATCGTGCAAAATTGGTATAATTACTTGGCGTTAGCAATTTTAAAGAATGCAAACACGTTTTCTTTTTTAATACTTCTATTCTTCATTTTGTAATATTATATAAAATTTTTAAAAAATAACTTACTTATATCTTAAAATGGAATATTTATAAATTAAAGGCAGGCATTAATATATTCAAAGAAATCTTTCTTTTGATATTTAGTTAAAATTTTGAATCGACTATTAATAATAAGGCAACCTCAATTTAAACAAGGAATGCGTTACGTTTTTATTATTATAAAAATTACTTCAAAATGCAAACGCTCAATTTGTGCGCACTATAATTTTCATGCATAAAAAATCTTTCAAGAGATTCTTATTCAAATTTTTTTTTAAAACTTTGATATATAATTATTATTATATGCGTCTCATTAAAAATTATTTTACCCTAAAGAAAAGCCCTCCAATATCCTGTTATATGCATTTCGACTGCGTCTTACGTTAAATTTCCGGAATCCATAGTTACCATCAAAAATTTCATAGAGTCACAAAGTCATCATAAAAACGAAAACGACGGGGAGGAGGAAAAAGAAATTCAAAGGGAAAACAAAGACAAGAAAGAAAAGGTTTTGGAAAGCGATCAAAGATTTAATTTACTTCAACATATGCCCACCAAAATTGTCAAACTTAAAGAGTTACCTACCAAATTTCAGCTACTCAAGAAAGGCGACGATTGGTTTGAGCCCCTTAAAGCTAAGATCCTTGAAATTTCTGGGGAATAGCCCAAACTATATGAATATAATTATTAATATTTTAAGCTTAAATATATTTGTTATATTGAAGTAAATTCATTTATCGTAATTGAAATATTTTTTTAAAAAATCTTTTGACGAATTGGATATAGTTTATATGTAGTTAAATTATTTATATATTTCTTATATATTATTATTTTTTTAGACTAAATTTATATTAAAAAAAATTTAATTTTAAAAAATGTTTTTTTTCATAAACATATACATTATATTTATATTAAAAATAACTTATAAAAAATATTATATAAAGAATACATTAAGAGAGGGGGAGCAAAAAAAGGCTCTCATTGAGATCCAGGGAAACTAAGATAACGACATCAGAACACGGCGATTTGAGTTGACATTTTAAGAGGATCTTTGATCCATTATTTATAAATTATATTAGCCTCAATTAATAAAATAGAATTTTTTTATACCAAATCGACTCATATTTTGAAATTATATAAATTAGAATGCATTAGGATAAGATCAAGTATTTTTATAACGTTTGAACTTTATATCCGTGGGTCCGGTATTTTATCGAATTCTAGTTACGAGTAGTAGTTTTGATAAATGCGAATGATCATCGAGTTAGTAACTTATTCGACTAATGTATAAGTTTACAGCCATAACCATCATCATAATCGGAATTAATAAGGTTACAATTAATGGCATTTTGAAAACGAGCTAGACAAATATATTTTTCTTACTTTTATTTTTGCAACGTTTGCAAAAATATCATTAATAACTTTGATGAAAGTTGTACCACAAGGCGTGGGCTGTAAAATTAACGGTCGAATTTTCTATATTGCTGCGTCTTCTGGTTTCTATTAAATGAACCATCGCTCTGTAGAATTTTAATTCCACTTAGGTTATTCTAAGGACTAATTGATAAGAAAATAGGAAATTAAAGGGATAGGAAGAGGGGTTTTTGATTTTATGGGAAATTCTTATTTAATAGGGTCACAGCGGCGGTGAATTAAAAAAAATTTTTTAAATTTTATTCTTCACTATTCCAAAATAATATATAAAGAGAGATTGTCAGATAGCGGGCTTTTAAACCAGAATGTACAACCATCGAACATCTTAAAAAAAAGTATTCAAGTCCAATTTTTTCTAAAAATTAGAATTTGATTAAATCGCTATCTTTTTATTTAAATCATATTTTAATATGCCCTGGAGGAAAATAATTTCCGAGGCAAAAATTTTAATTAATTTTTTGTGAAAAAGTCATATTGTCAATCATATTGAATTGGCTTAAGAGTATTTTATAATAATGCTAACTAAAATTAGATATTTGCCCACTTTAATTTATAATTTTAAAAAAAAAAATTTTAATGCTAGCAATCAGAGTTAATAGATACTTTTTAAATGGATCTAGATACAGATACAACGCCTGAAAAATATCTAGATACAGATACCATTTGAAAAATGTATCTAGATACGGATACGTTTTTAAAAACGTATCTATACAGGGATCGTCGTTGTTCTCGAACAGAAACTCTTATGAGTACAAAATACGTAAACAACATTTTTATATTTTATTCTCATTAAAAAATGTCAATCAATACCCCTATTTTTATCATTTTTTTAGAGCAAATTCTCATTTAAAACGAGCATACATTTAAAAAATTATTTTTTAACCTTAAACTTATAATTTATTCATTAAAAGTTAGCCAAATATTTATAAAATTATTTTAGAAAATTCTAAATAATTTTATTTGCTTATAATTTTGTTCATCAATGGTATTGTTTTTAATAATTATAGGCGTCATGGCTAAGCAAGGATTTATATATTCCTTTACATGATAAAAATATCTATCACAATCTTAAACTTATCTATAGATTTAAATGGAAAAAAAATATTATTTATATATAAGTTTTAATACTTTATATATATATTTTTATTTTAAATTTTTTGTTCAAAAACAAACTAAAAAAAATAATTGTTTAAATGATCTAACAATATTTCTTTTTTTATTGTACCAATCGTTTTTTTTAAGTGAAGAACATTTACCTAACTATATTATATAATAAACACAACAATAAAACTTTTTTCTTAGAATAAATAAACATTTTTGTCTATTAAAAATTTCTTTTATGGGAATGTAATAAAACTTTTCTAGTGCTTCTTCCATAACGCGGATTAAGCATTGCTGGAAGATTTTTAGAACAAAGAAGAACGTGTTTGAATCCAAAATGTCGATTCATTATTATTTTTGCATTATAATTACATATAATATTAATTTTACATTTATATTTTTTTCATATATTCAATTTGATCAAATAAATTGTCCATAATTTACATTGATTATTTTTATACTTATATTAATTTCCTAAATTATAAACTTTTTGTAGAGGTGTAATGCTGAAATATTTTTATTAGATGCTTAAAAAAATAAAAGAATGACCATAATAAAATTTTATAATCGGGCTTGGGTTAAAATTTTTTTATAAATAATGGGCGGGTGGGTAAAAATTTTAGACTAATGGGCGGGCGGGTAAGGAATTTTAGACAAATGGACGGGCGGGCAGGTATATATTTTTTGAAAACTATGGACTGGCGGGTTAAATTTTTTTTAAAACATTGGATGGGCGGGCTTTTTGTCCAAAAACCCGCCCAATGTAACCTCTAATCTAGATACAGATATATTTTATTGCATCCAAAGCAATCATCAACAAAATATATAATAAATGTCTATTAAAATTGTAAAGATTTTCTTGAATATTAACATTATTAAAATAATTTTTATAGAAGTTTATAATACCAAAAAAAATAATTTCAAGATTAAATTAATTATAACAAAATTTAAAAACTTGTAAAATATAGCAAAATGAGGTATAAATAGCTCTTATTTATAAATGCAAAATCTTGTATAAATATTTATAATAAATGAAAACCTATACTAGCAGGCACGTACGCATGAATTTGGTCTGGGGGGGGGGGGATAATAAAAATTTTTAAAAAATATTATTGTTAATTAAAAATACTAAGCACAAATCTTTAAAATATATAAAGTATAAAAAATTTAAATGTTGGAGATATAAATTAATACACAAAAAGTTTCTTAAGAATAATTGTATTTTGTATGTTTTGAGCTAATTTTTCAATTATCTATCCTTGCTTGGCGTTAAATGCCTATGAATATTCAAAAGATCCAAATCATTCAATCTACTTTCAGAAGTTGTATTTCATAGGTATGTTTTTCAGAGACTTGCAGGCCCGGGCCCCGAGCCGGACCGTATTTTAATTTTTTTAAACATACCCGGGCTGGGCTAGAAATTTTTTTTTAAAACAACACCCGGGTTGGGCCTGAATTTTTTTTTTTAAAAATATCCAGGCCGAACTGTATATTTTAAAACCAAATATTTGAAATCTCCATTATTAGCTAAAAAAATCAAAAATAAATATAATTTATTATAAAAAAATTTGGACCAAGCTTGAAAATTTTATTTTCAAAAAAGCCGGGTCGGGCCTGAAATTTTTTTTTAAAAAAACCTGGGCCGAAAAAAATTTTAAAAAAAATCTGGACCGTGCCCTGTAAATGGTACCTCTGCATGGCTCTGATATTCTTCTTAAAAAAGAGAATGTTCTCTCATTAATTTACTAATGGGAAGAGTTGCTAATATATATAAAACCATTTTAATACATTGGGAATATAATCTAAAATGTGTTTGAAATAATGCAAAGTATCCATAGCATTTTTTGGGACTGTATCAACCATAGTTAATTTTTTAATCATAGTTATTCAGCTAATAAGGCATCATAAGATATTTTAACATCTTCATGATAAAAATCTAACAAATATTTATTTTTTTTTCTATCACCATCTGAAAAAGGTTGGAAAGGCTTTTGTGGAAGTAAGGGACATTTGTTTTTTAATAATCTTCTACTGATCCTATATTAATGTTTTGACCATGAGCTTGCTTGCTGCAAGTCGAGGGGGACAAATATTAAACACGCATAGCTCTGCTTTTGACTCAACAATAACATATAAAATATGAAATTATTCATCAACATTAGCTTTAATTTCCTTGAGTTCTAATAAAATGCTCTCCGCTATTCTCATCTTCTTAATCAAGTCAATGTCATGTTTTTGAAAAGTATTATATAAAATAGTTGTATAATTAAATAATACATTCTAATGAGAAAAAAATTTTGGAATAAGCATTGAATCCGATAATTTTCTTGCTTCTGAGGAAATATTTCTCTCATGCCATTGTGATATTTCAGTAATGGCAAATAATCGGCTCTTCTAACTCCATAAACTGTTACTGCTTGATGGCGGAGACTCTATCTCGCTGGACAAGCTTGCAATTTCTTTCTCTCTGTTGGACAAGGAGTTTCAGAGATAATTATTATTTGACTAGAAATTTAGATAAATAATACACCACTAAATTTTGAAAATAATAGGTAAATTACGCCAAGGAAAACTTGAAATCGAAATTAATAAATAAAATAACTTAGTAGGTGAATGTGATAAATAAATATAATTAAAATATATATGAGATTAGTGTTGTTAAAAGGCTTATTTTGAGCCGTTTTCTAAAACGGCTAATATTTTTGGATGGAATATTGAGTTAGCCGTTTTAAAAATCGGCTCAAAACGAGCCGTTTAACAACACTATATGGATAGGAATAATATTAACAAATGTAAATTAATATTAACAATAATATTTTGAAAAATATAATCCAGCATCTGCATTTTTTGGCTTGGGGGGGGGGGTGGATTTGTCCCCCTGCCCCCCGTTGCGTACGCGCCTGTATACTAGCATCAATATCATTTATATTTAAAATGTTAGCCTATAATATGTTTGACCTATTATATGAACACTCCAAATAAATATCGAATCAATCTTTTTTTTATTACTTTACATCTGTCAATTCGAAGATGAATGATCTGCAATATAGGTTAGATTGCTATAAAATTAATACCATACATATCAATAAGCCAAATATGACATGCAAGTTTTCTTTGGCCAGCTCATACTTTCAAATACTAAGAAGAAAATCATAAATAATTCTTATTTCTGTATCGTATTCCTGAAAGAAGATAAATAATGAAATTATTTTAACAAACAAGAGTAAAATGCTATTTGCTTATAGGAGAGGAAGCCCAAGTTAAAATTGACGTGTTTGCATTTTGGAAACTCAAAGCTAGAATTCCCAATTTAGCAATACTTGCTAGAAAAATACTTTCTATCTCAGCTACCAGCATTTCGCACCGAGTGAAGGATTTTATTTGTTACTGGTTCGATATTGAATTTAAAAAGAACTTCATTACCTCCAGATAACTTGTATATAATTATATTTATGCATGATAACTATTATGAACCTTCTAATATAAATTTATAAATTCAATTTGTATATTTAAATTTATATTATTTTGTAATCATCTTGTTACGCATAGCTTAAGTTGATATAATTCTTAATCTTTTGTTAAAGATATTTTATAAACTTTTTATGAAAATTGATATTCATATTTTGTTTGTTTTGATTTTTCTTAATTTTGGTTTCAATAATATATAAACATTTACACTCTTTATCATGTGTGTTGCTTTATAGGTGCGCCTATTTTTAAAATTTTTATGACGCTTTGGGGCGCCGCCGGTATAAAAATACAAACACTCCGCTATCGCCGAATAATGTATCAGCGCAAAAATATAGTTATAGGTGTATTTTAGCTTTGATCGCTATAAAAGTTTTATAAAGAAATTTAAATAGAAAAATATCATATACATTTTTTTACAAATATACTTAAGTAAAATACGAAAAAATTATTGCAATAAAATCCTGACTCTGCTCTGATAAAGAGATTAATAATTTTATCATACAGAAATAAATGCACAAATATATAAAATAGTGTTCTGACATGCCTCGGAACATTCAGTTTTTATTATCAAAATCAATTTAATCCATTCTTGGTTTTTTTAAAGAATTTTTTTAATTTGAATTAGGGGTTTGAAATATTTATTTTCTAATATTCAAAATGATGAAATGTTTACATTCAAAATTTATCCTTAAAATCTTCGTAATTATAATTGAATTCGTGTATTTTTTTTATTTCAAATATATACTTTATTAATTAGTAATATTTACAAAATACACTTAAATAATAATGGTAAATTTACTAACAAGGATAACATATATTTTATATTTATGTAAATCACAGAATATATATGTTTTTTAAATACACGTGATAATAATTTTAAGAATTGATTAAAATATCTTTCGCAATAAACATTTTAATTATTATGAGATATAATTTTAAAAAATAATTATTACAAGGAGATTTCAGCGAAAAAATTTAATTTATATAATTATAATAAAACCAAGACCTTTAGAATATTTAAATTTGACATTCAATAAGCGGATAATGTTTTTATATAAACTTGCTGAAATTAAACTTTTCGGACTCTTCTTTTTCATCAATTTTGCTCGATAGTAATTTAGTGGAAGGTTCCAGAGATATGATGCTGATATTCAACGAGTTTTCAGTCGCTTTCAATTTTTTAACTAATACATCATCATCTATTACAATTTTATTAGAAATATCAGTAGATGTGGAATAAACAAGTTCACTTGTATCGAATTTATAATCGTTTGGTAACATAGTGTGGTTTTCCAAAAATTCAGTGTTATTCAATGAGATGTCAGCATCTTCCAATTTATTGAGTATATCAATAACATCATCTGTTACAATTATATTGGAGATATCAGTAGATATAGGAGTAAAATTTACAGTTGTATTTGATTTATAGTCGTTTATGCTGGGGTTATTGGTAAATATTGTATTACTAAAAGAGGATTTTGAATATAAACTTTTATTTGTAACTGCTTTATTTACAAATGTATCATTTAAATTGCCCAAGGTTTTAATTCTGAGAGGAGGTTTAGTAAGTTCATTTATTATACTTTCTATCATTAAACTCCTAGTGGGCGGGAAAGTAACGGTTTTGTTAGAGAAATTTCCTAGTAATGTTACTTGAGTATAATTTAAGATTTTAGTCGTGTTTAACAACTCGGAGTTATTATTTATCACCATATTATTACTTGTTACAATCTCTGATTTATTTGATATAAAAGTGGTTGAATTAAAAGATGAAAAACTATTTTGGGTGAACATTTTAGTGGTGACCGCGGATACATTTATTTGATCTTCAGGAATCGTTGCTTCATCAATATTGATGACCAAATCTTCTCTAGTTACATTAGCATTTACAATAACTATCGAATTTGAAATATTTGTGAAACTTGATAATGTAGTTGTTTCATTCAACTCTGACATGGGGGAACTTGATGATACCAATGTGCCATTATTCAAAATAGTTTCTGTGATGTTATTAGGTATAAATATCTCTGTGTTATTATCAACAGGCTTAACCAAACTTGTATATGTATTGGCAGAACTAAAGTTAGTTATATTTGTGATATTAATTGAAATTTCCTCCTGAACCGGAATAGAATAATTGCTTTTAATGTTAGATGAAATATTGCGAAAAATTGTGATATTGATGGATGGATCCATTACATTGCCTAAAGTGGTATGGTTTTTAAAAAATCTTTCCAGCTTCTCAGATATCTTTTCATTATCACCGTCTGTTTCCATTACTTTATTATGATCTGTAAAATTAAATGTCTCTAATTCAACAAGATCTTCTAATATCTTATTATCTTTTAATTTTTTGGTACTATACATTGAAAATGGAGGTTCTTCTTGTCCTTTCTGAGTTCCATTCAACTTTTGTAATTTTATGGGTGAGATCTTATTCGCCCCATTTAACGATAGTGGGTATAATTTACTAAAAATCTGTGACTGAGCATTCGGTAAAACATATATATCTGGAGAAACAAAATATTTGTACATTTTAGACGATCCATTCAAACGGATGATAGGAGAAATTAGATCAACCGACTCGCTTTGCGATGATAATTTATTCTTCATCGTATCATTCATATCAAATATGTTGCTCTCAAAATCAAACTTGCTAAACATTTCAATCGTTGGCTCTTTCCCGCTATTCCTAAACTTGTAAATGACAATGCTTTCATTTTTATCGCCTTGATTTTCTTCTTTTCGCAGTTTTTTAAAATCATTGACCTTTGGAACAAGCGAGCTTTTATTGTTCAATTGTACCAAATTAATATTTTTTTCAATATAAGTAATATTTTTGTTTTTCGATAACAACTTTTTAATAACATCATCTCTGCCACCCTTTACATTTCTCCTCTCGTAATAATTCTTATTATAGGGCACCTCAGCATTATTTTCTTGGTCGGGCTCAACATTACTATTCTCCTCTAATCTTGACTCCCCAGAATCAACGTCGATTATTCTATTATCCAAGTTATCATTCAATTGATCAAAATAATTCGTTTCCTTTACTCTTTCCTTTTTAATCCTACATTTATCGCACTTCCCTTTACACATATCCAAAAGTACAAAACCCTTACTGTTTTCGTCTATCATACCAAAATTAAATCTGGCTCCTTTAGATTCAGGATAAAGACCCCATGCCAGATGCATAGGGCCGTCTATTATAGGAATATCAAAAGGGTCGGCCCGATACAATTGATCTGTATACTTATTTTCGTTGCTTTCTCTTTTTTGAATGCTTTCAGCGACGTCTAAATTAATTGGTGATGTAAAATTAGAATCAGTTTTCACTTGACGTTTGTTCCTAAAATTATCAGGGACCTTGAGATGAATAGGTCTATTGATGTAAGAATATCCACCTGAGTAATTTATATAAAATAGAAAGTAGTAAAGGTCAATAGTCCTATTTTTTCTGTTTAGACCCAACTGTAGCTGTTTGGTCTTTAGAATCGGCTACATGATGAAGTTAGATTTTTACAATGGTTTCGGTTCGGTTTGGGCCTATATAACTTTTGATAATTATCAAATAAACTTAAACAGTGTTAAGAAGTTTCAGAATTTATTCAAGTTTTATCTATACATTAGTCCCTACATTTTTATTTATATAATATATGTACTACTTTTACAGTTTAAAGTCAGTACATCAGCAGGTATATTAGATTAAATTAATATTATGATTTATTAATATAATATATTCTATCATAATCTACTAGAGTATAAGTATAATATTATGAATGGTTATCTTATATTAAAAATAAATATTTGTTTGAAAATTCTCTTGTAAATTTACCTGGTAGCTAAAGAAAAGTTTAGTATACAATAGAAGTAATTTTTAAATATAGTGCTGTGAAGTAACGTCGAAAAAGTAACGCCATTCGATACCTTCTTCTAAAGGTAACGAGTAACAGTAACGCGTTTCTTTTTTTTTGAATAAAGGTAACGCAATATGTTACTCATTTCTTTATATTTTTTCTTAAAAAATATCAACAAAAAGAAAAACATATTTTATTATATTATAAAATTACTTTTATTTATTTTTTAATTCTTAATATAAATAATTTAAGATGAGGTTTAATACATATCAACCATTTCCTACATTTTTATTTTAAATTCTCGTTGTTAAATTTTTAGTCCAAATTAATATTCAATCAAAATTCAAAGTAATTATTAATAATCATATTATTATTTAATTTATAATTTATTTTAAAAGAATATTATGTCCATAGTAATTACTTTTTCAGATGAAGAAGATTTAACCCTTCCCTGGCCCCAATTTGAAATATATTATAATAAAGAAAATTAATGATACCAAGTCTACATTTGTAAATGTAAATTATGTCCCAACGTAAATATTTAACGTCAATGTCCAGCAGTTCAAACTTAAAAAAGCATTTGAAGGTAAAAAGATGAATTAATATATAATTATTTTAATAATAATAGAATAATATTCTTTCATAATATTATGAAAAGCTTAATCATTAAATAATCTTAAAAAAATTTATTTAAATAAATATATATGGAACAGTGGCGTAGCCAGGATTTATCCAAATTTTACAGAGAATTTCATTATAAATTTTATTTATTATTAAAATACTATATAATCTGATAATATATAATAAAATAAATTTGAAATGTAGAAATTTTATATAGATTATTATATTAAAGATTTATTATACTATTTTTAAAAATAAGATTACAAGTAATTCTTGTTGCACATAATGGTATTTAAAAAAAAATATATAATTTAACAATTATATTTATAATTAATACAAATGATTATATTATCAAAATGTAAATAACTCTTATGGCAAATGTAATGCTTTTATTAAAAATAGTATAATATAAAATATATAAATATTATGACTAAGAATTTATTATAATTAAGTTGTGCATATAAATTTTAATACTAAGAACATATTATAATCATATTGTAATTTTATTATTTGAATTTAAAAAGTGAGAACTACTTATCTCTGAGATAGATTTGGCTATTTAACCTTTTTAAAGTTGAAAATAACCTTTCATTAGTGCAGGAATAGGTTAGGATATAAAATAAAAAAACAATGTTTTGATATGTAGGCAGGGAATCTAAAGTGCATTACACGTGGAAAGGTCTGCAAATCATTTTTTGGTCTCAAAGAGTACACTATTCTGTCAAGATTTCTATATCAAAATTTGACATTTTGTTTTAGAGAACTGAACCTAGATATTTTTCCTGATTCCTTTTTATATGATAATTCTGATCTTATAAAGATAAGAAATTGAAAAATTATCTTTGGCAATCATAATTTCAATCTTAATGTTTTCCTACACAATAAGCTTAGTGAGGGATTAAAAATGCATAAATTTTTAAAAGATTTATCTTCAATTATTGAAAAAGCTAAGTTATTTTTAATAAAAAATTCAGGAATTAATAATATTTAAATTAAAAAAATATCGATAATACATTCTTCAAGAAAAAAAAAATAAATCAAAATTTGAGCAATAAAAAAAAATTGAAACCAATCAACACACACTCATTGAGATGCAGAATCCATCTACGTCAAAGACAAAAATATCACAATCAACTGTTGATGAATTAGTTTTTAATTTTGTAATTTAAGAATTACAACCATTTTCAATTGTAGAAAGCACTGCTTTTATTAATATTATCAAAAAATTGCGGCCATTTAAAAATGTGATGTCTAGACCTACCTTCATATTAAAGATTAACAAAGCATGACACCATGGCACAAAAATTAGTGGATTTATTGTGTACCCCAAAAATTGTCTGTACAACTGTGGATTTTTGGTCAGCTTATCATCGGTATATAAAATATATATTCTATAGATTGATAATATTGTCTTTTTAAAAAGTTCTTATTTAGGGATGATGGTACACTGGTTACACCCAGACACTCTTGAGAGGGTTTCAACCTACTTAGCTTGTAGAAGGCTAAACCAAAAACACACATTTGCTTATCTAGCTAAAATAATCTTTGAAATTTTTACCACATATAAGATACAAAATAAAGTGACCAAATGCATTACCGATAATGCTAGAAATTATATTAAAGCTTTCAAGTAAAAAAAAATTATATAATATATTTATTAAAAATTTATTAAAGTATATGAACAAGGAGAGGAATCGGATGATGAAATAGTTCCTCTGCCATTATTTGATCTATTTGAAAATCAAAATACTAATGATAGTATTGTATACTTATCTAAGCATCATTCTTATTCAGTACATACAATTATTGCAAGTATTGACATTGAAAAGGCACTCAACGATGTCCATTATAAAACCATTTCAAAAATTACATTTTCTAAATGTATGCTATTGTGGAATAACATGGACAATCATCAAACTGTGCAGCTCTTTTTAAGGAAAATATGGGAAGATATTTGATTAAACCGGTTACAACAAGGTGGAACTCTTTTTATAACTCTGTGAAATTAATAGATGGTCTTATTAAGGAGAATTACCAAAAATTTAACTTACAAAGATTCAGATAACGATCGTTCATGGATGAATATTGTATGGTTAGTGTTATGATTTTATAGGTTATGGAACCGATTGCTACGGCTCTTTCAATTTTAGAGAGCGAAGAAAATATGCATTTGGGATATCTCATTCCCACTATAACTATAATAATAATAAAACTTAAAAAAATGGCTTTAGATAATTTCAAGTTTTGTAAGCCGCTTATTAATTCAATCCTGGAAGGCATAGATAAAAGGTTACAGTTCAAATATTGCTTATATTTTATATTTTGATTAGCTTATTTTCAAAGATTCTAACACATCTATAAATATGAATATATACTATCCGCAATTCACCCTTTTATTTAAATTGGATTGGCCCTGGATAAAATTAGAGGTCAACAAAGGAAGAAGGCTAGAACTTATTTTTCCAGTTTGAAAAAAGATATTGATAAAGAGCAGGCTTAATTCCTTTATATAACACACACACCATAATATTTTCTGATAAAGATAAATTATTTTTTGATGAGGAAATGAATGAAGATTTCTGTGAAGTGATCTATCAAGCTTTTTTCAAAATAAATATATTTCTTTAAATATTTTAAATAAATTCCCCGAATTAAAAATTTTATTTTAAATATAATAAAACTCTCCCACCCTCTGCGCCAATTGAACGTGTGTTTGTCACGGCGAAAGCTGTGTTGAGCACTAAGCGCTCTTGTTTGTCTGATCAAAATTTTGAAAATCAATTGTTGCTAAAAATAAATAAAAAATTGTTATACTCTTATAATATATTATTTTTGTATAACTTTATTCATATTATAATTATATATGATATTTTTTTTATAAAAAGATCTTATCTTATTATACATTCTTTTTGTATAGTTTTATTTTATTATATATTGTCGGAGAAAAATAAATATTTTTTTGTATATAATATTAAAATAAATATTTTTTTGTATATAATATTTAATTTTTTTAAGTAACGAGTAGCCCTTTACTTTTTTGAAAAGTCGGTAACTCGCGTTCCTCTTTTGGAAAGGTAACGAGTAACGGTAACGCGTTCCTTTTTTTCAGATGTAACGGTAACGCGTTCCTTTTTTTAGATGTAACGGTAACGCGCTCCTTTTTTTAGATGTAACGGTAACGCGTTTCTTTTTTGTAGTAACGTTTACAGCACTAATTAAATATATAATTCTTATAATTATATATAATTTATCTTCATTATCCTATGTTGGTTTTTCTTTTTGGATATTAATTGGTTCCCTTGTCTATTTTTACTAGCTTGATTATTTTTAAATTCAAACAACTTCAGTTTCTTGTGAAAAATTATTGGTAACTAAGAGGAAAAATAGATTATCATGGAGAATAATACAATCATGTGTATTGGGTCTTGGTTCAAAAATGGGAAATATTTTGAAGAAAATTTTCAATCAAATCTTATTGAGGATGATAATAATAATCTAGAATATTCCTATATTTGCAAATAAACGAATTTTACAATTTAACATAGAATAATATTTTATGTTATATAGGTATATCTAAAACCAAGAAATCGGCCCTGATCATGGTCTGGTTCAGTTTTTAACTGAAATCCACTGTTTTAGATTTGGTCTTCAAAATCACTATCACGTTTCGGTCTTTAAAAATTGACACTAAATCAAATTGGACTGAGCCGTGACCTACACTATTAAAAAAATATTTTTTCAATTAAAGAAGCGATACTTAAATTCAAAATGATTAGTTCTAAGGGTGTATGCTCAATAAAATTTTATAAATTATCGATTACATTCTATTTAATTGATGACATGGAGCCAAGTCAAAAAACATATTCCTGACTAAAGTAAAATGATTTCAAACATTGTAAAAAAATTGTGATATCAAAATTACCAATTTTTTTGGTAAATATTACGAAGAGGTGGAATAGAGATTCAGTGGCCATAGCACTTCCAAAATCATCCGAACTTGACCCATAGAAAGTGTCCATTTCTGGAGATGCGAAACTTGTTTGCGCGTATCTATCCTCAACCTATATTTATTTAATTTTAAATTTATATGTCACTTTATCTAAGAGTTGCGTTAGTGATATGCATCGGGCCTAATCTTTCAAGCCCGGCCTGGCCCAAAAATTTTATAAAAAAGTTTTACCCGGCCCGAACCCGAAATTTTTTAAAAAAGTTTTGCCGGCACGGCCCAAACCCGAAATATTTTTTGAAAAAATTTACCTGCCCGAATTTATTTAAATACAGAAATTAATTTTTACATTAAAATAAACGATACATGTTATATGGGGTCTACTTTCTATAAATAAAATCAAATACTTTTATTTTACATAAAAAATTCAACATAAAATTGATGAATTTAGGTATATTTAAAAAAATTTCAAAAGCCCGACCCGACCCGGCCCGAATTTTCTTAAAAAATATTATGCCACCAGCCCGAACCCGAATCTTTTTTAAAAACGAATCCCGTTCGGGCCGGGTACGGGCCAGGCCTACTTTTGCAGATCTTTAAGTTGCATCGTAAAAAGTATCAGGTCATGTTTCCAATTCTGTGTTATTAAGCAATGAGAAGTTTTTAGAAAAAAAAAATTAAATGCCAAATTATTAACCTTTCTCAAAAGAATGATAAAAATTTTTAAATATAAATTAGTTTAATTTTGTCAGAATTTCGGGTTCCTAGAAATTTTAAAGTGGGAATCGGTTTGGTTTCTATGAATTCAAAGAAAGAAGCTTCGGATTCTAGTTCTGGTTGCTAGATATTTCTCCGGATCTGAGGGATCCTTGGTTGTTATGGTTCCGGTTTAAACTCTTATCTTAATTTTCATTAAAAATATAAAAAAATAATATTTATATTGCACATGATGTATCCTTCATCAATAGTGTTAATAAAAAAATGGAATAATACATATTGTCATTAATATTTTCTCTTAGCTCAAGGGTTAAATATGAAATATATTAATTATTATCGTTTATGTAATGTGAATCGTTGGATCATTTTTTAACTTCAATATGTTAAAATTTACTCTTAATAAAAAATAAAATACACTCAATATAAAATAAAGAGAATGCAATAATGTGGAATTAACCACCCTAAATAATGAATATATTCTGCGTAATGAGTATCAGACTCTAATAATTTTTACTGTCTGACTAAATAATTTTTAAAATAAATACTCTTAAAGAGTTCCCATGAGCTTGCCCAGTAACAACGTCTAAACATTCGAACGGATCTAATGAATTATCGTTAAAGGATGGCATGTAAAAGGGAAAATTCCGGCATAGAGTAGTGAAATTATTCCATCTCCATCCCAGGCCTAAAACAAAATTCGAGTAGAAATTTTACAATCTATATAGGAGAAACCGGGGCACGTTGGGGGGACGGTATTCTACTTCGATTATAATTCAAGCTATTAAGACTGGAAATTTAAGCCTGATATAGATAAAATTAGGTCATATATGATTCACCAAAAAAGATTTTTAAAATATTTAGTATTTTGATTTTTACTAAGCAAAATGTGTCAACATAAAAGTAACAAAAATAATTTCAAACTCGTTTAGAATTTTTATAAATAAAGCTTTTAATTAATAAATAAATTTTAAATATTTTTTAATTTGACAATTATTTAGAATCATAAAAGAATTTTCTGAATGATATTTATAAAATTAGTGGTCTAGGTCATGGTTGGTCATATTAATTATTGAAATTTTTTTTGTTGATTAAAACAAATGAAAATAATTTTCAATGAATATTTATTAAAATATGATTTTTTAATATAATTTACTTTAAATAATATTTTATTTTAATTTTTTTTTACAAAAATTCCTGAAATTTTTCAAAATCTTTAAATTCAATTCAATTTAATTTATTTAATTATTGAATATTATTATATTATCAAAAAATTAAAATACTTTAAAGCCTCTACTATTATCAATATCAAAAAATAAATTTAATTTTATATTTAGATCTCTATTTTATTTGTGGAATAAACTATTCTTATATTGCTGAGAATACCCTGCAGTTAGAATAATTTTATTAGATGTTCCAACATGCCCAATGTATGGCATGGTTGGGCCAGAAAAATTTCATTTTCATATTTACTTATCGAAAAAGCATACTTATAAAATACAAATTAACTATTTCAAATAGCCTATAATTTTAGGATTCAGAACATATTTTATTTACTCATGTTTGAACGAAAAGTGTCCCAACATCTCTGGTTTCTCACATAGGGAAATATGATATGATATGAGATATGATATATTATTAAATCTTTCTTTCTTATGGTTTCTTTAGTGAATTTAATTCAATATGATCTCATCCTTAATTAACTCTTTATCAGAATTTGATCCTTTTTAATAATTCTTTTTTCTAATATTTAAATGGGTTAAAAAGTTATAATTCCCTAGTAATACATCACATTTTTTTGATCTAGTAGGTTTTATATCTATAGTTTTCTTTTTCAAAGCTAATCTTTATTCCAATTATAAGTTATATCTTAAATTTCTTGGTAAAAATTTTAATCCACTAGTTCTTCCTTTCTATTTAAAAAAAAATATGTGACCAACCTATTTGCATATTGATAGGCCCCATCAAGACAATCTCTATTTCACAGGTATCTTCCAGAATTTTCCAAAACATCTTAAGTGGGCAGTTCGGACAAAGATCATGACTTTCGTAACCTAAAGTTAGAGCTTTATCTGGCGAGAAGGCAAAGCGGTTAATATCAGATTTCGCTGAGCATTTGGACATGTAAAAGCCATGATGACAATAACACATTTTTCTAAATGAAGATACATTGATGATTAATTTTAATAACTTTAATATAAAAATTCTATTATAGTTTTAATATAAATAAAATAAGGTTACACTAAAATAATATATATTTAGGATGATTTAACATACTATATTATTTTACCTATGAGATTTAAAAAGTGATATACTTATACTATTTTTTAAAGATGTTTTACATCATAAAATTAAAAAGGAAATGCATATTTAAGTGAGGAAAGTAGGGAGATTTAGACAGTGATATATATTTAAAAAATGATGGAAAAATTTAAAAGGAAATGAATATTTTACTGAGGAAAGTAGGTTCTGCTGTATTGTTTACAAGATCCCCTCTTTCCACCTCCGCAATCCTCCTGATCTTCGCACTCGTTTTCAAACTGACAATACTCACCTCTATTAAGTTGTCGGCATAAACACTTTCCGTTAACAGGGTAACCTCTATTATAACATAACAGGGTGTAATCTTGGAAAGGAATAATGAAATAATGAAATACATTATATTATTCTGAGTTTTGAGAAGTGTTCAAGTTAAACTAACAAATGATATTATAAAAAAGAAAAATTAATGGCTATTAGATTCAAATAATATCGCAATCTACACTTTAATAGCTACTATAAATTTTAAGAAATAGCAGTTAGTCACTTCAATATTTAAAAGTCATGTTATATTTTAAAAATGAGTATTTCACATAAAACAGACTTACTCGAACTAATAGATACATCAGCGCAACTATAGAGGTTGTAATTTTGTCCGTGTAACTCTACGTTCTGGCTCAACCTTAAAATACAATCAGGACAGTTCATGGTGTCCGGAACTGTCCATAACAAGGATTGAACATGCATTGAACCATTGCTACAGCTAGTTTCGGATATCTAAGCATAAATTAAAAATATGTAGATAGCATTTTTGTTGGTTATATTTGTTAAAATTTTACAAAATTTAATTAAAATTATTAAACCAATTTTTTTTCCTATAAATTATTTATTTATTGATTACTTCTTTTTTTTTTTCTTTCTTTCTTTCTTTTTTCTTTCTTTCTTTCTTTCTTTCTTTCTTTCTTTCTTTCTTTCTTTCTTTCTTTCTTTCTTTCTTTCTTTCTTTCTTTCTTTCTTTCTTTCTTTCTTTCTTTCTTTCTTTCTTTCTTTCTTTCTTTCTTTCTTTCTTTCTTTCTTTCTTTCTTTCTTTCTTTCTTTCTTTCTTTCTTTCTTTCTTTCTTTCTTTCTTTCTTTTTCTTTCTTTTTCTTTCTTTTTCTTTCTTTTTCTTTCTTTCTTTTTCTTTCTTTTGTTCTTTCGAATTAATTTAAAGAAAAAAAGAAAGAGTATTGTTTGGAAAGTTTGGATTAAAAAATAGAATTCAATTAGTGTTCTATTAACATTAATGTTATTCAATATATTAATTCCCAGAGAAAAATATTTTTTCCTATCTTTTGGCATATTATAATTATTAATAATGCTATGTTTATATAGTACAAAGTATTACAGCATCCATAAATTATATAGATATACTGTTCAACACAACATAATGATTAATGAATATCTTGTAAGGTATTATATTAATTATTTATAAAATAATTTTAAGATTTTTCAACTATATTATTTAATTCGCCTTAACCCTATTTAATATATAATTATGGTAAAATGCCTCTTATTATTTATCTACTTATGAATATTTTTTATAGAATTTATAAAAAACCTTGGCTAAATATAAATATGATGCACAATGTACTAGATAAATGAGGGTAATTGGATGGGGATAAATTATTTTTAAGATATTTATAATTAAATATATTACCAAAATTACTTTCATACAAATTTTTGAGACTAATAATATAATATTTTGCAAGTTATTAGGGAATAAGAGCTAATTCAAAATCTTCCCGTGGTGATTCATAATAAAGGGGATTCAAAAATTTGATTTTACCAAAAATAAATTTAAGCTTGTACGTAATACCTACCCTGTGAATTTTAGAAACGTTCTATAAACTTTTGAAGACTTACTCTATATTATTTTTTTATATTTTTCATCTAAATTAAAAAACACAAAAATAATATATGACAAATTTGTCTGAAAATTAAAATGGTAGGTACTCTATACATGCTGGAATTCATTTCTGGTAGAATCAAATTCCTAATTTTAAAAATCGTCCCCAGTAAAGAGTTAAAATTGAGATTTCGAAATACCAATGGAGGATTTCGAATTACACTGCATTTATAGTAGGCACGATTCGTTCCGATACGAAATTTTTCACTACACAATTTACATAATCAAGCCAATAATAGGTATAATTTATAAATCTAAATAATAAAATCGCGTGAAAAACATAGACGAATCAGCTGTGATTTTGCTAGCTATTAATTCTGCATCGCGAGGGGCATAAGGGATTAAATAAAAACATTAGTGATATAAATTAATATTAGTATAGGGATGCTAATTAAATTTATCAATAAGATTACATATATAGTATTCAGTTGTAGTCTTTATTAAATTAGAATTCAGTGCTTACGTTATATACTAAATTCCCTTGCGAATCTAATAACTGCAATTTGATAAGTCCAGGAAGGGAGTGAGTAACGTCCCATGTTATTTTGTAAAAGTTTTTTCTTTTAAGCGGAAATGGAACCAAACTTTTAACGGTGTTGCCGCAAGGTGGGTTCTAATAAGTATGGTAACAAACTAATATTTAAATTTTGTTTAAAAAAACTTCGTGCATGAAATCAGTTGATAATTTCCTCGGAAGAGGAAAAGTTAAACGTAAATGGCATAGGGTATGATGGCAGAAAGCGAGTGCCCACAAGGCTAGAAATATGAGTTTCATATGGTAACTTCAGAATTGTTATAAAATATAAGGTATAATGTTATATACTATTTATGTCTTGAAATATTTATTTTTATAGCCTACGTCATTTTATTATTTACTAATGTGCACTATAAAAAACATTTGCTGTAATCAATATAAATACAAAAAAATGTTTTCAGAAAAATTATCTTAATCCAAGGCACATTATTTTGAACATTGGGTATAAATTCCATAAACCCTGTCGATATATTTTTTTAACTCCAAATGATTTTTATTGTAGTAAGGTTAATTATTTATTATTATAATTATTTTTCTTATGACTTATGTTGATATTATAGAAAGATTATTTTACAAATGAATTTCGTTTATTTTAAATAAAAAAAATTAAATTAATTATGTCTGACAAAACACTAAATATTATTTTTTGCATAATAAAATATTAATTAATTTTATTAAATTAAAACTTACACTAGTTGCAAAATCTTTCTTCGATGGAATTAACAATTTTATTATAAATAGATATTTGTGCAGAGTTTAGGAAATGAGTAAAAATTTCTTAACAGAATAATAATGATATATATATAAGGAAAACTTATATAAATAATAAGGTAAATACTAAATAGTTATGGTAAAAAATTATAATTTTCTAAAAAAATTATTAAAGTTTATAATCTAAACGTTGAATTTCATAAATTTTAAGAAGTCCATCCTCATATTTAAAAACTCTTAATTTTAAGGTACTTACATTCTAAACTTTTTAAAAATCATTATCTTCTTTGAATAACAATTACTTTTAAGCTTATTTGCAAAAATAATTTTTTATCATCATTTTAAATAAGAAAATGATATATTTGATTGTCTAATTAATAGTCATTATGTTTTTTATTAAATAAATAAAAAAAATTGGATATGAAATAAAATTATAACTTTGACACACTTTTGTTTCTAATAATATAATTATATTTTTTAAAAAAATAAATCCTTTTTTAAAAAATAACATTTAAATTTGCAAGTTAATAATTTTGTGATTATGGCCAGTGGCATCGCAGGACAAGGGAAGGACTAAATAAATTTAACTTGAGCATCCAATAATATTTTATAGGGAAACTTCAACTTCTGCCCAGAGCCATTTAGCAATGACAAAAAGAGAGGATGATCTAGGGGTTGCATGCTTGATAGTAGAGTTTCGACACAGCAGGCAACAACCGGGATGCATTCCTTTTGTTTGCAAGTGGCAGATAAAGGGGTGTCAATAAGAATTCGAGATCTCATTTTAAATAATTTTCTAGTTGTTGATTATAAAAAAATTTATATAAAAAAGTGAATAAAAATGTAATAAAAATAATTCTCTTGTCCATTACTGTTAAACTCAATATTTTAGCCAGAAAAATATTGACTAAACCATGCGGTTCAAATCTTTGTGGCATCTATGACCAAATTCTTCTTGATTAATATTTCTGGATAAAATATTGAGTTAGCCGTTTTTAAAAATTAGCTCAAATTGAGCCGTTTAACAATACCATTCTTGTCGCCAAGCCAAAAAATCTTTGTACCACAGGAGATAAATTTTTAATCATAATAATAAATGATGGATTATCAAAAAGGGACATTGGCTGACAATTATAAAATCATCTACATTAAATTTATCACTCGATTTTGATAAACATCTGAACGTATATTAAGATTAATAAGTAGTTTGTCGTTTTTTTTGGGTATCGTCACCTCTATGTCAGAAATACTGCGATATTTTCTATCTCCAAAAAATTGGGCATGAACATTCTAAAAAATAAAAATACTATAGAGTTTAAACAAATACATTCAGGAGTTTTAAGGTTATAATAACTACTAGATTCATTAGAGGATATACTTTTAGTGCATTTTAAACACCTAAATTTATAGCCAACTTATGCTTGTTCATTAGGTTGAAAATATATTTCAAATTTTAAAAAAGAAAATTGATGTTGGGGTTATAAAGACTATCATCTTCCTCCAGTGTAATTTCATTAATATTATGTGTCTGGCTCACTTACATCCATATTAATTTGCATAGACATTACAAATATTTTATACCATTTGGTTTGGATTTACAATACAAATTTAGAAAATATTAATTTCAATTTTAAAATTAGAGAATAAAATATAAAAATTATAATTAATATTCATTTTTATTTTAAAAGTAGCGAAGTAGTGCGCTACCTTGGCAACTTTAAAAACAATAGCTAACACTAAATAACCGCACGCCTTACACCACATTCATTATATAAAATACGCTGTATCTTTGTATTCTCCGCCTCAAATTCGCGTTAACTGGGAATGAGGGGTTACCATACATTTACAGTTCGCATGAATTGGTGGTGCAGTATACATGTTGTATTTTTGTGTATTTTACCAGCGGCATGAATTTGTGTTAACTGTTAGTGCAAGGTTAGGCGTCTTAAATATCGGATTTTAAATTGCGATTCAAAGATCAAATATGTCTAAAGACATTAAGGCTTTTTCCAATATTTAAAAAGATCTTTATAGACATTATTTGTTATTTATGGTTATTTAATATAGAGAGGTAAAATAGTAATATCTCATTAGCATATTTAGAATCGAGTTATATTTTCGAAAATTTGATATGAATCTTAATTTCATATAAATATATAGCCAAAAGCATGAAGTTTGCCAAACTTTTGTAAGCACTTACTTTAAGGCTCAGGCCAATATATAAGGCAGAGACCAGCAGGCCCGGCCTGCGGCCCGGGTACACGGGCCGAGCCCTATTTTAATTTTTTTTAAAAATATCCGCGCCAGGCCGGGCCTGAAATTTTTTTTAGATAGCCGGGCAGTGCCTAAAAATTTTTTTAAAACATTTCCAGGCCGGGCCTGACCGAGCTAAAAAACACTTATATCCAGAGCAAATAACAGGGTTGGCAAGTACGTCAATTGACCGGTCAATTGTTTAAAATTTTATTGGTGAATAAATATATTGTTTTAATTAAATAATATGTATTTAAAGCTATTTAGCAATCTAATTAGGTTACAGTTTATTTAAATATATTTGTCATTCAAGGCATCGATTTAATTATAATTTTTAAAATATAAGATTTTCATATAAATATTGTTAGATTTTGAATATAAATAAAAAAATTTTTCTCATTATTTAATAATTTAATTAGATCTCAATATATAAATAAATATAGTAATTTTGCTAAAGCATGGTTCGAGAAAATTATAATTGCCAATTTATATTACAATATGTACATTTATCCAAACAAGATGGGCAGCGTCAATAAAATGTAAGGAGCAAATATAAATATGTAAGAAAGCCCTGAGAAAAACTGTTGAGGTTGTTGAATATCTGTCAGAAAGAAATTACCAAATATATTAAATGAAGAAATATTTATATTTTGGATTTAAAAAAGAAGAAGTAATCTTCAGACTGAAAAGGCAGATATGCTTCTCTTTCCTCATGATCATTTGTAAATTTTTTATATCTTTCCTGAGTATAGGGTTTCGTCATTCATGCTAGTTATTTACTTTGCGAACTGTCAAATATTTATTACATTTGTTATATTTTACCATGAGTCCTGAAAGTTTTTCTAATCCAACATTTTTCATTATTTTTTTTTTAAAATATGATATAATGCATTTCTTTTGTTATAAATTATATTATATTGTGCAAATAGATAATATTCTCAAAATACTATTTACATACATGCATTTTTTAAATAGCCACTTATTTTTATTTTATAGTAAATACAATATATTATATTCTCAAAATATCCATTTTTAAAAATATTAGTTTTATTTTTATAAATGCAATATATAATATAGTATATTCTCAAAATATTAATTACTTCCTTTTTTATAAATACCAGTTTTATTTTTTTTTATAGATACAATATAATATAATATATTCCTTTATCATATATTTTATAAATAAAAATTAAAATTATCACACAAGAATATATTATAATCTCAAAATATTATTTACAGAAATATTTTATAGTATGAATTTGTAATATACTAAGTTGTTTAGAATAAAAAAAGATAAAATGTGGAATATGCTTATCAAATGATAATACTCGCTGAAAAATACGGTAAAATACCGAATAGCTGAATTTTTGTATACACTAGGTCGAATATAATTTAAAAATTTTTTCAAAAAAATCCGCACCGTGTGGTGCAAATGATACCTCTTGCAGGTCTCTGATATAAGGCTCAGTATATATTTTTATTTAATAAATTAATCGTTTCATAGGTGTAGCCAAGATTTTTCTGAAAAGAAGAGGGAAAGTAGGCAAGTTTTTCATTCTTGAATTTTATGATATTTACCAGAAAATGTAAATTTTGGAAGTGGGGAAGCGTCACCAGACTAAGGTTGACAGGTCGGTCAATTGACAGGGAAGAAAAAAAATGAAAAATATACTTGACAAAAGAAAAAACAATATAAATACATATGATCACAATGCTGCTGACAAGATATGAAATTTTGAATACTAGTTCAGAGTTTAAAAATTTTAATTTAAAAAGTATAATATATTTTAAAAACCCGTTAGTATCCTGGATCGTAAAGGCTAGTGACCCCTCTGGGTAACACACGTTCAACTGACGCGGAGCATGTGAGGGTTGTATTATATTTGATACATAAAAATTTTAATTGAGGGAATATACTAAGAATAATTATAGAATAGTTCTTATTTTCAAAAGAATTTATTAGATCGACTTTTCAAGAATCTTTATTCAAATCCTATTCAAACTATTTTTATAGGAATTTATATTTTTACCTTCATTGTATTTTTTGATTTGAACTATTGGGCATCGAGGTTGAATATTAGAACTAGGGCACATTCTTAACTTATAGAGTGCATACACAGGACCCTTAATTTTCTTTAACTCTGAACAAATGCTTCATACTGGGGTCAGGGCAAATTAGATCATCTTTATCTGAAGAAATAAGATTGACTCAATTTAATTCAATCAACAATTTGGACTGTATAAAATTCAACAAAAAATATGTAATAAATAAAATAAACTGAAGAAATTTAATGGTTAATTAAAATTAAAACTCAGCTTAAACTATCTAAAATTTTTTTAAAATATATAATATATGAAAAAATTTCTAAAACGTTACTCTTTACGTTTTGAAATAAATAACGAATGGCATTCCTCTTCCACAAAACACCGTTAGTAACAATAATAGTTTAATCAGCTAGTATTGCAAAACAGCCTGATTTAGATCGATTTTTAAGAACCGATTAAGATTTGACTCAAAATAATATTATGTAAGCCTGGAAATTTTGCACAAAAATAGCTTTAGACTTCGTACTACTGGAAATAAAAACAATTTATTCTTTAAAATAATAATGCTCCCAAACATAATAATTTCATTTCCCAAGTATATTTACATACTAAAATATAATATAAAAAACATATAACTTAAATAAAATATAAATTAGAATATAAGCATGTTATAAACACATGATGGCTAGCTAGGATTGAGAAAACTATTTTATTAAAATTAAAATAAAAAGTTACATTGTGATTATATATATATAATTTTCACGTTATATAATATTATTTTAGAATATAAATTTGAATGTTGTTATATAAAATATAAAGAAAAAAAAGTTAAAGTAGAAATCGCGATATATTTTATAAAAGGTTATTTGAATATTATAGTCAATATTATAATTTATTTTATTTAATATTATTATTTATTTAAATTAATTTTATAATATTTATAATATTTTTATTATTATTATAATTTATTATAATTTATTATAATTATTATTTAAATTAATTTATTTTAATTAATATTAAAATATTATTTTTTAACATCTATAACAAAACCTAAAGCAAAATACTAGCTTTTAAGTAAAATTAGATAAATAATTTTCTTAAGATGATGAAATATTTCGTGCAAGTAATAAAATGTTTTTTCAATAATTTGAAAATAACATAAAGTAAAATAAAAGATGATATAATTAAAATAAATTACTAATAACAATGGCAAGGTTTGGACCTCTATTTTCTAAATATTGAATCTTACATAACATTATTTAGACTAAAATCATTTAGTCTTATTGGGCCGTGAGCCGTTTAAAAAAGTGATCACCGACGTTTACAACACTAATAATATATTTCTATAGGTGAAAATTTATTTTTTCTATGATATACATTTATAATAAATTATAAATGCAATAATCTTTTGAATAAATAGATTTAAATTTGTGGAGGCATGCCCTACGTCCTATAATGGGGTTTGGGAGGAGGCCCCTTAAGTTTGGGCATATGGGCCATTCCACGTCAAATCGATCACGATTTGGCAGACCCCTTTTAAAATTGTTAAAAATTTCTGAAATTATTTAGATAAAATTAGAAAAGCATACCTGGTTCCCGAGATAGAGGGGCTCAAAGGTGCAAAAAAGAGCCACTTTGGAATCTGTAAAATATTTAAAATGCTTATATCTCAAAAACTATTTATAGTAAAAAAATATATTTAATATATCCAATTGTAGGTAAAAAAATCTCTAAAGAGCTATTAAAAAACAATAAAAATTGGCGTCAATTTGAGCCGTACTTCCGGTTTACCTATTTTGCTTTATTTGTGTTTTTAAGCAAAAAAGGGAGTTTGTTTTCGAAATTTTTTTATTGCTTTTTATGACACCTTTGCTAAATATATATACAATGTCAAAACCTTGACGACAATATCGACTACAATAATTGAAGAAAAAAATAGATGGTGCTTTATGAAATTACGGATTATATAAAATTTTGCTGCTAACTTATCAAAAACTGGATATTATCACTTTTTAACTAAAATATTTGAATTTCTATTAAATATACTAATTAAACTGAGGAGCAGAGTGGGCAAATGCCAATTAGACACTTAATAATGTAACAAATTTCCAATAATTGATATCTTTCATATAATATTTTTAATTTTTAAGGTATCTAGAATTTCATCGAATTTTTCATCATTTGATGAAAATATTGATATATCTTTATTCGTTAAAACTTTATTTTACTTTAGATATTTTTTTCTTCTAATATTTCTTTTCACATAAGCGTTTTCTTTAATTAGAGATTCCCCTATTAATTGTAGGGATATATTAATATTATCAATAGCCTCTTGATTAATTATATGAGGGGGAGAATCAATATCTACATTGTCATTTGATGTATAAAAAATACTTGCTAATTTTTGTCGGCATAAAGAGCATACACATTAACATATCTAAATTGAATGGTAAATTTTTTTGGGTCATCCAGGGTAGAATCTTTCTTAGATTCTCGCGATACTAAGCATATCTCTGTAGATTAAATGGGTTGCAACATTCTAGTATTTGATACGTCCATCTGTGATAGAGAATAGATTTTAATTGATCTGCACCTAGAATATATGTTTTTGCACTCTCCGAATCGGTAGACAGACGATAAAATAATAAGCTGCAGACTGGTTGAATTATTTAAAATTAATCTGAACTGACAAGTTAAAAATATTACGCAGAAAGAGAGATCGTTTTAAACAGTTTATTTTGTAAAATATAATCTATATGCCTGATAAAATATTCGTTTTTACTGCAGCTGTTATACATTATCGAGCTAATAAGTCATTCACTATAGTAGCAAAGTAGAGATCTAAAAAATGTAAAACTTTTTAAGGATAGTAAGGGGGGGGGGGCAGAACTGAAAATTTTTATCACATTTCTTATAAACGTATCAATATTTTTATTTTCCTTATAAATCATATTTTTAAATCATTTGCGCTATCTATTTTTTTCATCAATTTTTGGTAAAAATGTATATTTCGGAAAAGTAGATAGCGTCGCCAAGGTTTTGACATCGTATATATATTTATGTGTTTAAATAAAAAGCAAAAAAAAAAATTCGAAAAACAAACTCCCTTTTTTGCTTAAAAATACAGGTGAAACAATATAGGTAAACCGGAAGTTAAAAACTCAAATTGGCGCATTTTTATTATTTTTTTAATAGCCCTTTAGAGATTTTTTTTACCTACAATATGATATATTATATATTTTTTTACTATAAATAGTTTATATATATAAGCAATTTAAAAATATTACAGATACCAAAGTGGCTCTTTTCTGCTATTAGAACCCCTATTTCTTAGGAACCAGGTGTGCTAGCGAGTTAAAATAAACGACTTTCTCATTTATATTCTTATCTAAATATTTCCAGAAAGGGGTGGGCGGAAAATGTGCCTTTTTTGATCGATTTAACATATATTAAATATTTGGTCATCGTTTAGTACCAATTTTAATTAGATTTATATTTGTTTCACCTAAGATTTTTATGCAGAAGAATCAAATTTCAAAACCATATGTTTTTTGAGATTTTTTAAATTGCACACCGGCTATGGTAAAGTTTAAGGAACGCTTAAAAACAATATATGATGATTTTTATTTGGTATTTTATTTGTAATTTTATCAAAATTATTTTTTTAGGGCAAAGATCTTTTGATTTTATACCCACATTTTATTGAGGAGTTCTTTTTGATCAAGGCAAATTCTAAGATATTTGAGGAAAAAGGTAGATTGTTAAGTTACGATGAATTGATTAATCTGAAAGTTTTTATAAACAATCAAAAATTTATTTATAACAATTTATTTAGGAAAATTTTAAAAATTTAATTAATTATTGTATAATGGTATTAAAAGAGGATCATCAGATAAAAATTTTCAATTCATTATTGGTAATTAATTTATTAATTAATTTTTATGAACTTATTTTAGACACTTTTTGGAATTTTCAAAATTATACAACATGTTGATATATTAGATACATCCAACCCACCTTTTTTATCATTATTCTTTGATATGAATGCTTCCAATTTAAATATTATTCAAGTATTATATAGTATAAAGAATTATTTATTTTTATAGGAATTAATTATAAATATTGAGAATTTATTTCACAAGAATAACATCATATCACCTATATATCAACTTTCATTCAAGATAATTATTTCGATATTAACAGTTACTCTAATATAATTTATTTATTATATATAAAGTTTTACAGATTGTTGAAAAATTGAATGATAATCAATTGATTGAATATTTTTCAACCCAAAACATTTTTGAAACATTATTCTCAGTAAGAACCAAATTTTTTTAAATATATATTCATATAAAAATACTTATCAAGATGATAATAGATCAGACCAATTATTTAGATGACATAATTTTGATATTGGTACTTCTTTTCAATTATAAAAAGTATATGGTAAATAATTACTTTATTACATTTATCTGAGTTAGTTTTTATTTTTAAAATCATATTTCAAAATCTTATAATTAAATTTAATTTAATTAACATCCAAGATTAAATTGTATATATGTAATATTAGTACTAGAACCCTGAAAATAAAATATTTTTTTTTTGGTCCAAGCTCACTCCAAAATTTTTATTAATTTTTTAATCTTGGACCAATCCTAATTTTTATTTTAAGCCTGAACCATCCAAGCTAAAAAATTAAATGACATTTTTATAAAGTTGAATAAGATAATATGACTAATTTTAACCAAATATCATAAAATTTTAATCATTTTATTAAAAAAATAAAACATTATTTTTAAAGCCCAGCATGGCCAGTTTTAAAAAATAATAAATTCTGCATTGTCCAATTTATACAAGCTTAATCTATAGGGCTCTAGTTAATAGTTTTGTTAAAAAGCCCAAATTGGGGTAGATTTTTTAAAATGGCCCTATTAAGCTTTTAGCCAAAATAATATTATGGTAAACCTGGAGATTTTGTAGATGGCAGAAATGTTTGGACCTCTATTTGTCATGAATTCAAATTTGGGCTCAGAAATTTATAATTATTTGATTGAACATCTTGAGATCACTGACCAAAGGACGGATTTATAGACAACCCATCGAATCCATGATAGGCTCAGACACCTTTCAGAAAATTGGTTTCAATTAATTTCCTGTTATCAAAATTTCCGCTAAATATAGTTCAAAATTCATGAACTCTAATTCCTGTTCACAGAATTGGCTTTTAAACTATTTAACGTAAATAAAAGTTTCACCTTATAAATTCTTTTTAGTTCTTTGGCAAAATGCAATTTAGTTTTTATATTTATCGATCATTTTTTAAAAAATATTTGTCTCATTATTTAAAAAAAATGTAATATTCGACATTTTTGATGCTAATATCTCGGGCCCTATTGGTATTAAAGGGCTAAAGTTTTGGATTCGATGTCTGCTAATAGTCTTTTAATATGAAAAATTTTATATAAATTAAGAGAGGTCGGGTTGTCAAGTTATCGAACATTTATACCCGGAGTAGGTAATTGGCGCTTAAGATAAATGGTACATGTCCCTAAACAGACTTGTCCAACCCTATCTGAACTTAGACAAACATTCTTCCCGAATCGGTAAGACCAGACTTTTATATTATATATTTTCGGGTCAGACTAGAACCTTGGTAAAATTTTAAATTTTTGAAATTTTTCTGGGTTGAATCATATCTATTTTTTAGATGGATCGAATATTTCTAAAAGAGTTTAAATATTTTTTCCTCCAATCGAGTCTAACCTATGAAAAATTAGTTCAAATATAGTACCCTGGTCTTTTAATACGAGAATATTTTTCAATCTCGGCTATTCATGCTAATTTCTTCTAGCATAAATGTATACACTATATATTATATGCGTAATCCTTACTCAATTGCTTATATGTATATAAAATCACGAATAAATTAAGAATCCACCTAACCCTTACATAATGAAGCTTTCGATCATCGACGAACAATCAAGTCTAAACGTAATTACCACATTTTTAATTTAACGGAAAAAATAATTATAAAAAGCATGTTCAAGTTTACTATGTAAATTTACTTTAGTACTATGTAAATTTAATTTTACACTTTTAAAGTATAATTGTTAAACCCGAGTCTTGGATTGATCTAAATGCAATTTTATTTATTTCATCATTTATTTTTCGTATAAATTATTTATTCAAAATTTGAAGGCCGATTAAAATTATAGTAAAAAAAACTTAAATTGATTTATTTTTGCATTTCTTTAAAAAAAAATTATACAAAAGAGATACGGATCATACGTTGCCGTCACGCTGGACACCTTTAACAAGTCATAAAGAAACTTTTTTGTTAAGTTTTAAAAGTTGCATTTTAAAAAAATCAATGATATCTAATCATAATTAAACGGGATGTAGAATTTTTAAATTTTAACAATATTTCAATATATAGAGGTAAAAGTCATAAAGAAACTTTTTTGTTAAGTTTTAAAACTTGCATTTAAAAAGAAATCAATAATATCTAATAATAATTAAACGGGATGTAGAATTTTTAAATTTTTACAATATTTCAATATAGGGAGTAAATAATACCTATCCCCAATTATCTAAAGTACCAAAAAATTTGCAAAGAGAGAATGAAAACTCTTCTAAGATTTTGGACAAAAATTCAAAAGGATAAAAAAAGCGAAACACATTATAAGGAGCAGGGTGGGCAAATTTTTATAAAATGTATTCGACTAAAAATACAAATACACTTCAAAAATAATATTTGAATATAAATAAAATACAATACGTTTAAAAAAATGTATTTTATAAATAAGAAATACCAGAGTTGTTATGTCATATCTGTATTTATATCTAGATACACTTTTATAGAAAGCATCTATATCTAGATACTATTAGAGATATATGTATCGGATACTTTTTAAGATACATTTTGATATACTTTTATTAACGCTTTTTTATCTAAAAATAGAAATATTTGAGTGCAAATTTTATCTCGTATGAGCTTAGAAATTAAAATAAATATATATTAAATAATATTAAAACGAATATAATAAAAATAATATGTGTCTGATAATTTTTTAAAACTGTATTGGTATCTAGATATGTTTTAGACAATGTATCTGTATCTAGATCCATTTAGACGATATATCTATATATAGATCCATTTAAAAAGTATCTTTTAACAACTCTCCTAAATGCCTATAAAAAAAATTCAAAAAAAGTATTTAAATACAAACTCTTCGCACAAATAAATACTTTGACGAATACATAAGTAGATTTTTTTAGTTACCACTATCAATTTTTTTTAACTTAAATAAGATTTTTTTTATTAAACATTTTCTAAAAATATGAATATCGTATAGTAATACAAAAGATCATTATATATGACGTTTCCACTTGCTAAGGAACGACCAAAATTTATTAAAATGCAATAAGACTTACTTTATAGTTAGATCTACTTTATATTATTCCCCAAAGACGGAACCATCTAAGCATTAGAAAAAATTTATCCTTGCTGGATTCTAACCCAGCACTATCGGATTGTGATACACCCCTTGAACCGACTAGGCCACAAACGCTATTCGAAAGCATCAAATTTTTTTGTATATAAAGATTAAATTAAACGCTCTCTAAAATTTTAATAAAAATACACAAAAAAATTAATTAACATCATGGCCCTAATACAAACATTATAAATAATATATTTATTGTTGTAGCAGTAGCATATCACAAATTATTTAATAATTGCAAAATGATTGATGTAAACGTTTTACATATCATATAATAAATTCCTGGAGGATGAAATCTATTGTTTTATCTGTAGCTGAGATTACATTTATCTTTTACTAACATTATTGATTTTTGATGATATTTTGAAAAAATTTTCATCCAAAATTGTCAATTTACATTTAGAGGATGTTGACGTTGTTATAGAATCCCGGCAAAAAATATTTTATACATAATAGCTATAATTTAGAAACTCCTTATCTAAATTACTATATCTTTCTCATCAAAAAAACTTGTATTTTCGCTTTAGGTAATATTCATTTTAAAATATATTAGGTTTTAAAATAAATGATATTAATTTTTTTGCTAACTCGGGTCACAAATTTAATATTTAAATAAGTGAATTTAAATTTTGTAATTCAATTTATATAAAAAAAAATTATATTCATCCGAAAATTTGTGAAATCATAATAAATACAAAATACTTTTTATTTTATAGTATTTAAAATACAAATACTAAATATTTTCCAAAATATTCAAATAAATATAAATACAAAAAAATATTTGTATTTAGTATTTATACAAGAATTCGTGTTACTGCCCAGTCCTGATAATGGGAGCTACTTTTATCGGCTTTTAACACCGTAGTTAAGGAAGGAATAGACCCAAGATCGTCAGTAAAATGGGGGGGGGGAGTGGTGATAGTAAATTTTCTCCCTATATATATGCCATTTTTTGCTAATTTTGATTAGGAAGTGAGTAGAAATAAAGACTATTAGTGACTTAGGATAGAAGTTGCTGCTTTGATCTATAATATTGTAAATATAACAATTCTCATTATAATGGGAAAAAGTTGTTAGGCTCACAAAAGCTGGACTTATAGGAAGAAGAAAAACCATTTAAATAACAAAAATAATTTTTTGGGGGTTATTTAAAATATTTTTTTTTCAATGAGGATTTAGTTAAGAAATTCCTCGCAAAAATTTGTAAAAAACATGATTTAAAATTTAGAAACTTTTCGGAGAATAAGAACCGCCTAAACAAGAATCACGCCAATCATTCTAACGAGAGGGAACAACTCGAAAATAAAAGTTCGGGAAATTGGTACTACGGATTATGGAATTCCTTGCGAATAGTAAGTATCTTGTTAAATTATACCGTTATAAACAGGGTTTTTAAGTGGTTCAATTTCAATTGTTATTTCAAGAAAAAATTATATCAGCTTGCTCCAATTTTGGATTTTCGGTTAGTTTCGATCAGAGTTGAATTTTTTTTTAAAAAATTTTTTTTAAATGAGAGATATTTGATTAATTTTTTTTAAAAAATGCCCAAATCTTTTCTAATTTCATGCATAAAAAATGTTTCAAGATGAAATCAAAAATTTTAAAATAAACATTTACAAATTTTTTTTAAAGATTTTCTTTAAATTCTGGTTTCGATTAAAGTTTGAAAAAAAATATATTCCATCTAAACTTTAGAGAAATAGAATTTAAAATTCTAAATTTTATATTTCTGTAATTCTTTATATTTTTTTGTAATTGCGTATTTAATTTAGCCACTATAATATAATAGATATTATATAAAATTTTACTATGTGGCTAAAATTTTTTTTCAAAAGTTTTAAAACTTTAAGGAAGACTAGTTCATGGTAAGAAATTTTTTTAAAATTTTAAAAGTTTTGGCCACATTAAAAATTTTCCAATAAAAGAAAGGTAAACCTATTTTTTGATTGGCTACAGGATAAATAAAAGTAATAAATTTTATGAAATAATTTGGTGAAATGTTACTCAAATTGAAGTTTTTATATTGAGATACTTTTTTATCATTTTAAGATTAAAAATGTAAATTAAAAAAAATAAATTAAGAAGAATATTGGGAATATATGGTCTTTTTCTTATTAAAAAACAGGTTTTTTAAAAAAAACAAATTTATAAATAACATAGGAATAAATTTAATTTCAAAATTGACATAATATGAAATTATTTTATATTGTCTAATTAATTAGAAATTTGCTTGATAATTATTATATTAAAAATATAACGAATTTGGTATTGATTTGACAGTGATAATTGCATGGGAAATTTTTAATTTGAAGGAAATAACGGATTTAAAAAATTAATGACGTAAATATTTCGCAAGGAAAATAGAATCGCAAAAAATTAATAATATATAAAAATTTCAAATTTGAAGGTAATAATCTAAAAATAAAAATAATCAAAAACCATGCGAACCAGTTTAAATCTAAACTGGATTAAAATATTTATGATTCGGTCCTTTTTTTATAGTTCAGTTCAAAACTGGTTAAATGTTCTTTTAGACGGTGTTCAAATTATCAAAAAATTAAATTCGTAAGCTTTTGAAATTTTATTGAAAAAGAACTAATAAGTGTTTTTAATATAAATTTAAAAAACATGTCCAAAATAAAATTCTAAAAAATTTTAAAATTTTTAATGAAAGTTTTAAAACATTTAGAATTTTTAAAAAAAGATTTTTGACATAGTAAGAAAACCTTTTTCAAATCATACTTTCTTCAATTTTGATTCGTAATTAAAATTCTTGCCCCCCTCCCTCCGACTGCATTTGATTGACCACTAAAAATGATGCTATTGAGTTTAAAAAAATATATTATTCATTTTTACTTGAATTCTTATATAATTTAATGTTTCATGGCCATAAAATTTTAAATTTTATTTCATATTTTTCAAATATAAAAAAAGTCACCCACAGCTTATCAATCTGATCTCGACGCTCGCGATATATCGGGAGAGCATAGGTTTTTATTTAAACTATGATAAATATATATATTTTTTTCTAAATTTGGGCGAGCTCTTTTATTTTAGTGGCATTGGTTTGATTATTCCTGTTAATACGTGTTTTAAAAAAAATATATTCTTCCTCTTTAATTCTGTAATGATAATTTATAAAGGAGAACCTTTCATCTCATAATTATTAAAGGGAAAAGTTCCGGTAACTTCCACATAGATCAGTTATTTAACCCCCTCCATTTTTTACATAAAAAATAAAGCCTAGTCTAAAAAAAAATTTGCGAGGCTACGTAATCAATTAGGGATTTTATTTATTTCATTTAATTTTATATAAAGTGCTTCTAATGTATATTTTTCAATACTAAAATCAAAATAAAATACTGAGCTTGGGTTTAAAAATTATCCCGAATGATAAGATTTTATAATTTTTGGCCAAATTGAGTTAGACCTCTTTAATAATCAAGCAGCGATTTATTTAGAGTTAGTGTTAAATATAAAACACACCGCAAGTTAAAATGTTATAAAATAAATTTTTTGGGGTTAAACTTGTTTCGATTTGACCGACATCTTTGCGAGAAAGCCGTATTTATAGATATAATTTAAAAAAATATATATAATGATTTATAAATTCATTTTTATACTTTTTTGTATTAAAAATAGCGGTTATTAATAAATATTTATTTATATCACAGGCATAGACAGGATTTTTTTAAGAGAAGGGAATTCCTCTCAACCATTCCTCCCCTTTAGTAGACATTTGACCCAATCGGACGGGTTACATTTATTTTTTAAATAATATTGGGTTTTATAATATAGTTATCCTTCTTATTTTTAAAAACGATTAGCTTATTCATGCTTAATATTAAAAAAAAATTATTGCTTAGCTATAGAATTTCTAACGATGAATCCAGTAGTATAGCTCTCTTGGCCTTTTACGAAGCCGTTTATTCTAATAGGAGTTTTATAACCACTCTGACCCACGTAAAAAAATTAGATTTATTAGATTTATATTAATTTTTGCATGCTATAATATTTTAACTGAATTAGTATTCCAAAGTGATATATTTTTAAAAACTATCCTATTTATAAAATGTGATGATCAAACGTCCATCTCGTCCCGTCCCTACTTATCTTTAATTTTTAAAATGGGACGCATCCTAAAAACGCTCCACCAGGACAGGACTTATTTCAAAGACTTTTAACTTTTTATTAATATATTCATTAAAAATAAATAGATATATAATTATTTTTATTACAAAATTCGAAAATAAATTTAATATCATATTGTAAGGAAAAAATATTCCCTATGTCTCAAAGACTAACCATAAACGGAACGCAAATGTTAAACGGGATTGTGACCGGCATTTGATCACAGCCAAAAACATGTTTTCCATTTGATCATATTGAATTAGTTGTTATTATTTTACTTTAATTATTTACTAACGCATAAAAAATGAAAAACAAGCTTTGCTTGTATCTAGAGCCCTGCACAGGCTCTCCGAAGCCCGCAAACGTTGTTGAAGAAAAAATTAAAAATTATAAACATCCTCAATAACTATTTTATTTCATCCAAATGTCAATCTGAATCACATGCCTTAACGCATTTTACTTATTCATTTACGTAATTTCCATTTCCCAAATTAACAATTTTCTGTAACTGTGATGTATTGTGACTAGTTAAAACTCTATTACTTACATACATCCGATTCCATCACTTTAAATAAAATACATATTATTATTCTACATTTTGTCAACAGAAATCTATAATATTAATCTTGTTATGACAGTTATGAAATATTTTCATTTGATAATTTTTGTTTTACCGAAGATCTATTCAATTAAATAGCCTCAGATTTTTTTATATTTAAAAAATTGTTTATAGAATGGATCATTGGCAAATTATAATAACCTATTTATGGGGGTTAAATATACTTTTATTTAAGGTGGCAATGTGAATAAATACACATAATTTTTAATTTTTCCTTGATGATATAATATTTAAACTCAAAGTCAAATTTTTTTAGTCATGCTCGGGTAGGGATGAAACAAAAATTTGTGCTCGGGTTCAAGTCTGGCCGCCAAAAAATTACTTCGTACGTAGGGCTCTTTTGTATTATATTTGGATGTGACATATTTTTCACTTGTAATATCTAAAATAATAGAGTGCGCATATACATATATTAAGTAAGAAAATAAAAATAAAAAGTTATATATAAATGCAAATATCGGCCGGCATCGGGTATTAATTATATAAACTAGCTATCCTTTTTTTTTCTTCTCTCACTTAATATCTATATTATTTTTGTTCCAAGCATAAAATAAGGTAGTTATACAAATATATTAAATATTATTATAATAAATACTAATAGAAAATGAATGAAAGACAAAAAGGCATTTTATCCTTAAAAATAATTATAAGATTTAGATATTTCTTTATCTTTTTACTAAAAAACCAGTCTCATTTAGATGTGGATCACTTCTATCATTTTCTCCAAGCATAAATTTATGTGGTACAAATATAATAAAAGTTATTATAAAGAATGTATAAATAACTATATGATTTAACTATATCTCCATCTTTTTGCTAAAAAATCCAGTCTCATTTAGATATGGATCATGACTGCCACGTTGTAGAGACTCACGCGAATCCCAACAATATTCCAATTAATACCCTAAACCAATCAACCAATAAACATCGAATAGCCAATAATGGCTCAAGAGATAATCTACAAATTAACGATGATTTGGCCAAAGTTAATAATTCTTACGCTAAAGAATTAATTGGAGGTATCAACTCCACTCAACCCAAGAATCTGGTCACCATATTTTTGGAATACACCTCTATCATGTTCTTGAATGTTAAAGGTTTGTAAAATATTTTTAAAATATTTACAAAAAATGCATTTTATATTAGAAAATTTTGATCGTTGCAAGTTATGCTGTCTCATATTGACCTGCTTAAGTGAAGATCATTATTCCAATTCCTTGATGCACGATTTAAATCTTAATTTTACTGTCAATTTACATAGAAAGGTTGATTAACATATATCATTTTTATTTATTTATTTCTAAATTTTTCTAATGCATTTATATTTTAATTTATTAATTATTTGTATGTAAATCGATTCCACCACGAATCTTTACAGAAAATATAAAATACTTACCAAACTATTAAGCCCAATTTTTTTAAAAGGTATCTGACATAAACCAGACTAGACTGACACCCTAGGATTTAATTTGTAGAGATTAGAATTTTTAGTTGAGGGGATGGGGCAACCCACTAAAGGTGGGGGGAAAAATTACGCATTTAAAATCTGATATCTTTAAAAAAATGTATGTAATTTTTTGATGAAACCGTTTTAATGATTTTTTAAAATAAAATAATGTTCTCATTTCGGAAATCCAAAAGTTTTCATATTAAACATATTAAAAAAATAATTAACAAATTTGGTGAATTTATTCCTTTTTTTAAAACAATGAGTGATAGCAACATTTAACTTTTAAGAACATACATTAGAGAAAATTTTATTTTTAAATAAGGCTACGTTCAAAATTGATTTTAATTTTTGTAAGCATAATATATATAGATATAACTGTCCGTTAACGGGAATTCGTGACGAAAAATACAAAAATACAGCATATTTTGTAAATTTTGCCATGTTCGAGTTAATTGTGAATAAGGGGTATTATATACATTTTTAGTTACGAAAAGTTAATTCGCTTTGGACTTAGTAGGGTAAATAAATATTAGAATTATTCGTTAATTATAGAATTATATAATATTCGTAATTAGATTTTGGCATAATTAAAGTCAAGTAACTAGTTATATTTTATCAACAATAACTAGTGCTAGTGTACTGATCATTAAAAAAAAATATTTCTTATTGTCTTTATTTTATTTTATTAAAAAAATAATAACTAGCCATTACTTCATAGGAGAAAACTCAATCAAAACGGAACTCTATCCCCTAGACCATTAATATGCTTTTTATTAGGTAAAAAAAATTATCTTTTTTTAAACATTTAATTCTCAATTTGTACTTGGTGTGAGAAAAAATGATTATTCTTAAAATTTTTGAAGATCAAAATTTTTTAGAAACTAGGATTTCATCATGAAAGATGAAGTTTTTTTTAAAGGTAATTTTATTTAAAAAACGGTTTCAATTTAGAAATAAAATATTAACGATATCAAAATGAAATATATTTTTAAAAAGAACAAATGAGAATATATTAAAAATTATATGAAAGGAAAATATAAATAAATTTTTATATAATAAACATTAAAAAGTACTTTAAAAAAGTAGTACATTTAACACTAGAGAAGAGTGAATGTTTAAAAAATTAGACCGGCAGATTTCAAGAGAAATCTGCTGACGAAGCTGAAATCTATCTCCATTTTTTGCCTTGATAAAATTAATAGCTTTATTTTCGAACATGCCTTAGGTTGTTGTGAACACTATGTTTATGAGGCCAGCATATTTGTTTTTTAAGCATACTTATATATTTTAAATGGCAGAAAATGTGAGGTCAGTTTTCCTGCAAAATCGATACAAGTATAGTTCCAAGTTAGTGGGAGACCATTAGTCCAGGGGATAAGGATATATTTTCTCATAAAAGATTTTTTACAAAAAAGATTTGGAATTTTAGATTTAGTATGATAAAACTTATATTTTGAGAATTCAAACTCTGATTATAAAGGTAAAATTAGATATAATATTGTTAATGTTGAATGCATATTTTCTTTTTATTTCTAAAAATAAATTTCTTATATAATTGGTCCCTTTTTTTTACCCAAAAAATATTTAAAAAAAGATTTATTGTCCGAATTTCTCATGTGCCACCTCATGAAGAATTTTCCCCACGAATTATACAGGTAAATTTGATAAATTTATCCCTATAAAAATAATATTTTTTTTACATGATTTTTCTCAACTAAATTTTTTTTCTTCATTAGTTTTTTATTAATATTTTTTTTATTCCCTTTTTTATAATTTATACCTCCAAAATCATGAGAAGATTTGCCCGATTATGAGTAAATTTAGTATAACAATTTTAACAATGTACTTTGCTTTTATAATCTTATTCTGTTATGGTGCCGGAATATAAATTTAATATAAAAATTAGAAAAGAATGAAAAATTTATTCAAGAAATATAATCTTTTTTCTTCATACTGCCAGCATATGTTTAGGTATCGTACACAGGGTTCTATGTTACCAAAAAAGAGCCAAGTGTCGTTTGCCTTACGAATGGAATCAATTGTGGTCTGGTAAATTACTATATTATATATATATTTGTACGAATTTAATTAGTTTATACTAGACGGACTCAATTTTTTAAAATTTTTAGCCGAGTCTGAAATCAGCAGATCTCTGTTATACACTAAATTAATCACAGAATTGTTGATCAGATAGGCCGTTGTCATTTTTAAAATTATAATTTATTTAAGCCTAGACTTAAAAAAAAAATTCTTCCCAACAGAAAAGCAAAAATAAGCAAATAAAACCTTACTATCCAACTAACGACATGTAAATAGATTTTAGTATATAATACTATCAGGTTTAAAAAAGATCAATAATAAAATTTTAAAAAAAATTAAATTTGATAAGCACTCTTCACTACCCTCAAATTCTTGATTTCCAAACAAAATTTTTTCCGTTTATGCCAAAACGATTCAAACAATTCAGAAAAATTAGATGATACTGGAACCATCCAATATTTTTATTTACCACTGATAAATCAAGTATATAAGTGAAAAAAACATTGTATTTATAATAAAAAAAATGAAGATATTAGAATAATTCTGGGATACATTAACTGAGTCGCCTGGACTAGTATTGTATTCCCTGGTTTAAAAAAAACGATTGAATCACATTTTTAGCCAAAAAATGTTACCTAAGCCTTGAGATTTAGCCAATTGGCGAAATTTAGAAGCTTACGTTATATTTTTTGGCTAAAATCTTTACTTTTTTTAAAATCAGTGAAGTCAAAAAAAGTAACAACAATTAATGATAAAAACTGAATTAATTTATTTAATATGTTTTGTTTAATTTGAAAAACCTTTTCTTCTTTGTAATTTGATTAAAACTTGGGTGCGTGAAAGATTATCACGATATTTAACTTCTTTATCACTTTCGGCGACAATTTTCTTCCTAGCCCCCAAATCTACGATCAACTTTACTACGAAATGGTTAGGATGCACGAAATTTTCGATAACACCCAAAATTTACGTAATTTATTTATTATTAATTTTTTTTTAAAATATTTTTTTTGTTTATTGAATTTTTAGTTTTCCTTGTTATAAAAAGGAGAAGTTTCGATCAAAAATAATAAATTATAAAAATTGTAGAAAATAAAATGGAATAAATAACGATTTACCTTTTTTTTTTTGAAATTAACCCTTTTAAAAAAATATATATTAGATCTACCTATTCATTTTTTTTTATCGAACTTTTTTTTAATAAGACCCTTTTAATTTTTTTGGTGGGTTAGGGTTAAGCTTATTCAACGAATACTAATCGATTATAAATTATTCGTATTCAATTCTTTTGAACGATTCGAATATTTATTATTTATAAATATCAGAGACCTGCAGGCCCGGCCCTAAGCCCGGCCCGGCGGCCTGAAAATTAAAAAAAAAATATCCGGGCCGGGCCGTATATTTTAAAACCAAATATTTCAAATCGCCATTATTAGTTATAAAAATCAAAAATAAATAAAATATATTTTTAAAAAAAATCCGGGCCGGGCCGGACCTTGCAAATGGTACCTCTGCTGATAAATATACCAATTAAATAAGAATGGTATATTTAACTATTCGTACGACGAATATTTGATTGTTTTAAAAGAATCGAATTCTAAGAATTTATTATTCGATTCGTTTTTTAATAGTAGGGTTAGAAGATAGCTGTATTAACGATTAAAACGGCTAAATTATAATGATCGTCCATTAATGTTAGAAGAAGTTAACAAACAAAATTATATATGATATATTATGTAACAAGAGTTTGTAACCGTAATCTGAAACCCTCGGAAACGGGATAAATTGAGGAACCAATATCTTAAATCCTTATATAAAAATTTACAAGAACCAGCAAAATTTCCGGGAAATCGGTTCTAATAAAATGTTTGCAAATTTAAATCTATATTTTTAAGTTGTTTAACCTCGACTATAACAAAGTATTAGGTTAGATTTCGTATAAAAGGAACCCTCAATAATTAATAATTAAATTTGGTTTAGCATACAGTAAATTTATTGAGAGGCAAACCCCCTCTAATAATATATTTTTTTTTGAAATACCAAGTATGATAATAGGAATTTACAACATTATGGTGAGACTCACTAAAAAGGAATTTTTAGATAATTTATTTGTTTTCTAAATTTTTTTTATACATAAAAATTTTAAACAAAATCAAAACCTAGTCAATAAGGTGCTATCCGATCAAGACAACACACACAAAGATTTAGCCTTTGAATTATCCAATTCATTCGTTAATATCAAGTGATTACAATTTTGAAAAAAATACATTATTATAATAGATGATAGGACTTAGTTAGTTGGTTGTTAAACCGCTCGATTTGAGCCCATTTTTAAAAACGGCTAACTCAATAAAAAATATTTCCTAAACCTCTAGATTTCACGAATAGATGTCCAAACCTTTGTGCTATCTATGAACAAAATCTTTAGGCCCTATTATTTTCTGGATGAAATATTGAATTAGCCGTTTTTAAAAAACACTGGTTTTTGTAAAAAAAATTAATAACAATAAATTTAGGTATTTTGGCATATTTTTTTTAAAGAAATTAATAAAACTTATGGTTATTAATTAAGTAATTGTTTTTTTCCCTCTGTCTACACTATAAAATTATACTTTATTTGTTTTCCTGCATAGTTATACCATTTTAAATTTATAAAATATCATTTAAAACTCAAAGTATAAAATTGCAAACCTTGAAAGTATCATTTTAAATATGTAGAATCGAAGGAGTATTTTACCTGGTCAAATATTCTAAGATATTATTGGTGAATAAATAGATTGTAATTAACTAATATGTACTTAAAGCATAATCTAATTAGGCTAGAATTTATTTTAAAATATATTTGTATCATAAAGGCATCGATTTGATTCAAATTTTATATTAAAATATTAGAATTTCATTTAAAATATAAAAATCAAAGAAGATTTCTCACTATTAATCTGATTGGATCTCAATATATAAATAAATATAATAATTTTACTAAGGCGTGGTTTGAGAAAATTACTACGATTTATTACAATTATCCAAACAAGATGGGCATTGCCAATAAAATATAAGGAGCAAATACAAATATGCAAGAAAGCTATGAAAGCAGTGTTGAAGTTGTTGGATATTTGTCGGAAAGAAATTACTAAATAATATATTAAATGAAGAAATATTTTAAACGAAAAATTTAAAACTATTCTATAACAATTGGCTATCATATTGTTTTAAACGCAAAGGGATAAATTGCTTAATTTGGAAAGTACATAATTCATTCATGCCATGATTTGTTAATTTCTCCACCCGAAGAAAAAATACGTTTGAAAAGAAAAAACGATACAAACAACACATGTGCTCACACTGCTGATTATTTATTGGATACCCAATATAAGGTAAGTATTTTAGTAGTAGTGAGTTTGATGAAGCATGTGATATAATACAAGAATTAGGCATTCTACAAGGTGATGATAATCAAATATTTTAAGTAATATAAATTTCAGATGTAAAAGCGGCTGTATATTTAAAAATATTTGGAAATCGTTACTTTTATAAAAAAAAACAATCACATTTCGGGTTGGAATGGGCTTTGTCCACCTAAGAGAAATGTCTAATATTTTACTAACAATTCATAGTTATACTTCTTTTTCACAACTAAATTGGTCGATTTGGGGTATATTCATACGAAGAAAAGAAATCGATTGAAGATCTCGACAACAGTTGTAACATTGATTAAAAATATTAAGGAAAATGATAATATTGAATTAAATCGGATCAAGACTCTGCCATTAAAACATTAATTATATAATTTAAAAAAATATAATTTAATATTACATAGATTCATTTTTTACTATTATATATAAAATAAAGTTAATATTGTCAAAAAACATTTATTTGAATTTGACAATATTTGACCAGGCAAATATCAAATTGACCGAATCATATTTGACCGATCAAATGCACAACCCTGTTTAAAATGATACTTTATTTGAGATAATACTTTACTAGGAGGTAAAATAATGATATATTACTTAGCTCTATATATCACTAATTTTAATCAACCTTAATCTTTCTCGCTAGTTTTTTTTGGGCCTATAAGTAAATTTACATTATTTTTTTTTAAAAAATTTTATGTGAAGCGCTATCATTATCCACTTTCGCTCGAAGATTAATTTCGTTTCCGATCGTAATAATATCCAATCTTTTTCTCCCGAACAAGTTAATCTATAAATTAATATTTCTCCTCATTTGATTATCAAAGCATTCTAACTCCATTTTTGGCCCAAAATTAATGTTAGGCTTTAAATTTTTATAATTATGGGTCACTCACCTCCTAAAACTTTACCATTTTAGATATTTAAAAAAAGACGCATAATTTAACAATGCTTTTATGTAATAAAATATCAATATTAACTACTATTTCTTGTCTTAGAAATCAGAATGATGCTTCTATATATTTATATTATTCTAGTTTGTGTATCATTAATCATATTAGTCTAAACCATGATTTTTTTATAAATAAGGGGGAGGCAAGACATTTTTTTTAGCTCCAGGAAATTTTAATCATAATGATTATTATATTTTTTTGATATAATATCTTTGTTTAATTGAGGATGAATTATTTTTTTTGATATAATAATTTTACATTTCTTATCTGCTATATAATTTATATTTTAAAAATAAATAAAAAGGTATTAGAAATAATAAGGTGCAATTACGATAGCCTAACGCTTAAATTGCATCAAAATTTGTACGTTTATCCCAAATACAACGAGGAAAATGAATCAGCATTCATGGAAAAAATAGTTTACCAAACATTTAAAAAAAATTAAATGAATTAAATCTCAATATATTATTCTCTAATCGATAATTATCAATTTATTAGCAATTGTAAAATCCTATTATGAGATTGCTTCATCCCAATAATTGTGCCAAAAAACAATGTTATAATTAATTAGAAATCCAAATTAATAGAAAAAAATAACAATTTGTTCTTCTAAATATAAGTTAGCGTAGAGTGGAGAAAGTCTTTTAGATCTCAACGACGCATTCATCCAGTTGGGGTTGGAAGTTTGACCTTCTCGCTAGTCTTTGAAAGTTTTTCTTAGTTATGCCGTTAAGCATTCTTTGTCTGCAGTCCAGCAGTTTTATTTAAAATGCTATAAAATAATCATTTTTTTATAATCTTAAACTACTTGTTTAGGTTTATCTGGCATAAGGACTATTTAATAATCCGATTAGCATGTATAGATTACCTAAAATTAATTTCATATATTTTGCCATATATTTTTTAATTTATATGAAAAATCTATAATATTATGAATGGGTTAAAAGTTTACTGCGAAATTTTCTAAAACTATAATAAAGTCGTCAACGGGAGGATTCTAGATTAGTCTTTATTTCAGATTAACTAGCTATATTATATACTATTAATTCAAATTTCCAATAATGATAAAAATCACAATAAATAGAAAAATTAGGAATATCTAAAATGATAAAAAAAATTTAATTTAAAAATCATCTAAACTGGGAATGTATAAATACTTAAATGAGAGCTAATGGGATCTGCAGTTCCCCAATCCAAATTTTTTTTAATGGAGGTAAAAAATAAATAAATAAATTATAGAAGTCTTCTATCAGTAAGTACTCCTATTATTTTTTTTATTATTTTAGAAGATAAGGAATTTTACAACCAAAATTTAAAATAAAAATCCTCTATATTATAAATTTTAATCACTTTTTCCCCTCAGGTTAATACCATGCTAGTTCTGGCGAAAGACGCGAATAAAAAGCCGCTGGAGATCGATTATTTTCAAATCTTGAAGCTCTTATCCTGAAAGAAAAAAAAGAAAAAGAAATCATCATATTTTGTTTGATATATTTCATTCATTTTGATATTTATAGGGGAAAAAAAAACATAATATATTATATTCACTTTTGTAAACGATGTTTTTTTATAGGAAAAATATAGCTATGATTGTTTCATTATTGTTGTCAGCTGTTTATATAATATTTTTATTTTTCGAAATACTTATTTGGATATTTTGATATATAATTTTGGGCAGGTGTAAAATAAAATTATAAAGACAAATGTAATAAATTTTCTATTGCAATTCCTTCTGGTGTTAATTACAAATTAAATGGATATCCACCTCTCTCAATGCATTTCTGCCGAAGTGCTTATGTACCTAGGGTTTTCTATGCTTCATGGTTTATATAAACAAGATATAGGTTCAGGCATTATTTTGGCTAGTGAGACTTGCAATTATAAATATGCTGTATTACATGTTTTATGACATTTTTTGAACCATATTTGAGGAAAATGTTAGAAATACAGTAATCGTTGACTAATTTCTTTTGAAGTTTTATATAGATAGCTCTACTTTGGGTATAATTCCTTAACTGGACATAATAAAATTATTAAAAGAAAATTAAAATAACACTTAGGTAGGAATATTCATTCATAATTATAACAAAATATACCATGAAAATGAAATCATAAAAATTATCAAAAAATCCTTGCAAATATACAGTAATCGTTGATTAATTTCTTTTGAATTATATAGTAGCTCTACTTTGGGTATAATTCCTTAACTGGACATAATAAAATTATTAAAAGGAAATTAAAATAACACTTAGGTAGGAATATTCATTCATAATTATACCAAAATATACCATGAAAATGAAATCATAAAAATTATCAAAAATCAAAATATTTAGGAACACTTAAATTTTAAAAAATATATAAAAAATAAATTTTTCTTTTTTGGGTGTACTTTTTTTTTGATTGGACTTTTTATATTTTTGAATGGAAAACCCTGTATAAAATACAATCGTTTTGGAAGGTATCCCGTCTTTACAGATAATCTTTTATAGAGAATGCAAATATAGAGAAATTTTTATAGAGAAAATAATTATAGAAGAATGCCGTTTATAAAGAATATCGTTTATAGAGAATGATTTTATAGAGAATTTATTTTATAGAGAAACTTTTAAAGAGAAAACAATTATAGAGAATGTTGTTTATAGAGAATCTCATTAATAGAGAATGATTTTATAGAGAATCTCGTTTATAGAGAATGATTTTATAGAGAATTTATTTTATAGAGAAACTTTTAAAGAGAAAACAATTATATAGAATGTCGTTTATAAAGAATGATTTTATAGAGAATTTATTTTATAGAGAAACTTTTATATAAAGAAAACAATTATATTTGAATGTCGTTTATAGAGAATCTCGTTTATAGAGTGATTTTATAGAGAATATTTTACAGAGAATTGTTTTATTAGAGAATATTTTACAGAGAATTGTTTTAGAGAGAATTATTTTATAGAGAAGGATTTTATAGAGAATAATTTTATATTGAAGAATTTTATAGAGAATGAATTTATAGAAAATGAATTAAGTATTATTTTAGAAATAAATTTTCTCAAAAAAACAAGCCAGATGCCGTCATATAAATTCTCGGAACCCTTGAATAAAAAAAAGGGAAAAAATAATCTTAAAAAAAATTATTCACGTTCCTCATTTGTATTGCTTATGAATAATTATGATAATATTTTTGAGTTTCCTGTTGTTATTTTTTTTTAAAATACGCTGAACAATTAGAAGTAGTAATATTAAAATTATGAAAATGTTTCCTTCTTTATCAGTTTTTATTAGTGCTTTGCTTTAACTAGTAGAGTAGCCATTTAAAAAAAAAATTATTAGCAACAAAGCCAGCCTTACGCCAATTGTTTTAGAAAATTTTGTCAATATTTAGTTGCTTGTGCATTATTTTAATCTGCTTGGTCCGGCCCCGATTTTTTTAAAATATATTATATATTTTTAATTTGCCTAGATAATAATGGTGATTTAAAATATTTGGTTTTAAAATATATGGCCCGGCCCGAGTTTTTTAAAAAAAACCTTTTTTTGACCCGGCCCGTGTATTTAAAAAAATAAAATTTTAAGCTCGGCTCGGGTATATTTAAAAAAATTAAAATACGTCTCAGGTTTAAGGTCGGGCCTGTAGGTCTCTGATTTATAGTGCGCTTTTATAATTTCCCTAATAAATCTGATTTTACCAATTCCGAAGAGAATCTACCCTGGGAATTTCATACGATTGCGCCAAAATTTTTTTGTATTTAATAATTTATAATGAAAATCTATATAATTTAATAAAAATTATGGTAAGGCGATAGTTTGATGGGTATTTTGTTCTATTTTTTGCATTTTAAATCATAAATTGAGCGCGTTATATTAAATTTTAAATCTGATTTTGCCGAAAATGCATTTAAATATGTGTAGAATACCCACCCTAAAAATTTCAGAAGATTTTATATTGAACCTCTGAAGAAATTTTAATTTACATTAATCTGAAATTTATAAGTAGTGTTAGTAGCCTAAAATAGTCTAAACATAATTTGTCTTAACCGAAAAATCGCCTAAAACTAATTAGACAAAATGTAGGGATTGGGAGCTAGGCTAATCGCCCGTCAGCGTTATGCAACACTAAACCTAGCCTTTATTAAAATTATTTTATATAATTATTTTATATATTGCGATTAACCGAGCTCCTTAGCCGATGCCTAATTTTTGAATAATTAGTTTTCGCCTATTTTTATGCTAAGCCTAATTATGCTTAGCAGATTTTTTAACCTAAAAACTTGGCTAACCGTTTTGGAATTGCCTAAAATTAACCGATTGCGCAACATTAAGGGTGGGTATTCTACACTTATTCAGGTGCATTTCTGGCAAAATCAGATTTTTAAATTTAATATAATAACAAAAAATAAAACAATACCCATCAAACTATCGCCTTACCAAAATTAAGTTTAGTTAAAAGATCACTAGAGTACTGTCTAATATTCACAGGGTAGGCAGGAAAGACCAGGGGGTGGTTGGATCAATTTCTGTCAAAATCATCATAGGTCCGAAAATAATTGTATCTGAATTTACAAAATACAAAATGATAGTTCAAACCTTTACCTAATAATTATACACCGACAAAATTTAAAATAATACTTTCTTTAAATTGATTAGTAAAATGAAAATTTCCTATTACAGGCCTAAACTCTTTATCAGTGTAGAGAAAGATGAATAAAAGAGTTTAAAATGTTTTTTATAGGTTTTTTGCACTTGTTAAACATTCCGAAGATCAGACTTTTAATATTTATAAGAAATTTTTTATTTACATATAGGGATTATATTTATTGATACCAATTTGTTTAAATATGGTTGGTTCACAGACAAACTTGTATTTCATCATATGATTATAAGAAGCTTTGTATCATGATATACACTGATTTCCATCGCATTGTAATGTCTTTATTTAGAAAATATCGAAGCTTGATATTTGCAGCAGATTGCACAATATTTTACTAACTCTTTTACACTTAGAAGTTATTTCAAATACCTATCAAAAGATTTTGCATCATATATTATAATACTACCCCCCTTCTTCCCCCACTCTCCTCATTTCCTATACCACATCAAAATCAGAACAACGGAATTCCAAATACAAACTACCCATTTTAATTATGCCAATCATGAGTTATAACCTCTTCCCCTGTGGTAAAAGGTCCTGTTTAACATTGTTTGAATGGTTAAGCGTCTTTTTATTATTGGTAGTCGGTCTATAGATCTGGTTATAAGCAAATATAATTATCATTAATATTTAAATTTCTTCGTATCATTAGGGCTAATTATTTATTCAAACTTTTCTGTTGGGAGGGGGGGGGGGTGTTTCTTAATAAAATAAATTTCATGATAAGCAATATTTTTATTTTCCAGCATAACATATGGATTTTCATTATCTACGCTTCCTGAGACAGATATCTTACTTTTCTAATATATTTTTTATAGGACCTTGCTTTCTACTGTAAAAAGTGGAATCATAAATGATAAGTTCGCTTCAGCTTGTTTAATTAATTTTAATATCCGTCAATGCTTGCTTTTAAACTTTTATTTTAAATCTTTCTAAACCTCTTTTAGTCTTGAAGAATACACATTTTAAAAAATATGAAGGCATAGAAAATGTAAAAAAGAGATATTTTCCACCATTCGATTTTTTAGGGTTGTATCTACTCCCTGAAGTACAACTTACAAAGTAAATATTTAATTCCATTAAATTTTCTCATCTTCAGAGATGATAGTAACGTCCAATCACTATTATCGCCACTCTAATAAAATTTATGACATTCATCAGATTAATATAGCAACTGAGCTGAAGTGGAAATATACTATAATTTGTTTTAAAAATAGCAAAGTTATTTTTAATAATATGAGACATGTTCAATTCATTCAATTTTAACTCTACTTATATTTATTATATTTCTATATCCATTTTTATACAATTTTGTCTTTGATCACATAATTAGAAAAGACTCGCCAGGAAGCAAGAACTTAGCAAGAATCAATTAAGGAAATCAATAATCTATTGTTTTTCCCAATTCCTGAGTCACAATAGAGGCAATTTCATCATCAGAGATTACACGAATTAAGTTCTGAAATGGACAGCAATTCAATTCGACAATCTACCATGATGCTGAACATTGTTTCATGTCTTGTTGTGATAAGCTTTGACCTTGTCTTTTTGATTAAACAATAAGAGAACTTATACAAATTTATTATCAAAAAATGCTTATCAAGTCCATACTAAATCCATCACTAATTAAAGCATGCTTTGTCAAAGAATAATATAAATAATTTCCGAGGTCTAATTATCTGTTTGGCTCAATGTTTTAGATAAAACCTTTCTTAGTGCCTTGCAAATTTTATTTATTTCGGCCAAAGCTCCACCCAAAATCTTTATTTTTAGGAGCCTAGCCAAATTTTAAATTTTAGGCCTGAGCCTGTCCTGTCCCAAATTTAATTGAAAAATATAACTAAACGCATATTTAAACAATCAATTAATATAAAAATTTAATTCCTTTACCCTAATCTTTAGAGATATTTTATTGCTTAGAATCTTTTTTATATTTTTTGAGTCAAAAAAATCAAAAGCCTTAACCCTATTTTAAAAAAAAATATTTTTAGACCTAATACGACTTTAACTTAATTTCCAGGTTCAACTAAATCTGTCTAAAGGCCG